CACATTAACATCATGTATCATTTTATTAATGATGAAGGTTTTTATAAAAAAATGAAACTAGTCAAGATTGAACTTAAATTCAATCCAACTAATACATTGACTAATAAATCTTTTGACTATGTTTTAAGTTTGGTTAGATTTAGTTGAAATAATGACATATTTTAGGTTTCAATCTAGACATTTTTGTAGTGTAATTATATGTATCATGGAGTATATTGTCCTTACAACATGAATTCAAAAAGATTCTTTGTCTTAATTCAAGACAAAAGTTAACTCTAATTAGCTTAATTTCAATGAGTATTAGATTTGGGGATTGACTATCCACTATACAGGACAAGACATAGATTTGAATTTTCAGCAAAACCTCTTGTTACATGGATGGATGTAGTCCACTAGAGTCAAACCATGTGTATGTTGGCATTGTGTCCATGTGTCATGTTCTTTTGATACTGTCATGGATTTTTTGTATGCATATAATTTTTGAAAATTTTTTGGATTTTTTTTGGATTTTTCTATCCTTATCTTCACATGTCTTGAATAATGAATTGATGTTGATAAAATTAATGATCAAATTATATGATTAGTGAGACTAGTGTTGCAATTACAATCAAAAGACTAATTTGCAGCTTCATCTCAAAAAGCGGATCATGTTAATACTATCACGTTTGAAGTTTAAGATTGATTTTGATCTTGTTAAATTAAATTTAACTACAAATTTAAAAAATCATAAAACTTGTTCATGTTGTTAACTTACCTCTCAGCATTCAACTTTAGTTTAAAAATTAGGCTAGCTTGTATTTAAGTTCAGTTTTAAGTATTTCTGAACCTATAAATTGTTCTACTTTATCGCATTATAGCATGAAGTGATATGTAATGGAAAAAAGTGCAATACAAGTACTGTACTTACGAATAGGATGTATGAATGGAGAGATATAGATTTTTCAATGAATCTTACATTCTTCATCATGCTAAAGGGGGAGAAAGACATGGTACAATCTTCATATGAGAGGAGTGGGATTTAGAAAGTTGGGCTTCTTACCACATCAAATCAGTTTTCATAAGAGTTGAATACATTGGAACCAGCCCATCAGTACAAGGTGCATGGCGTTGCTCCCAGTGAGTGAATGCAGAAACATGAGGAGTAGCATTATTGAAAGGAGAGTATAGGGAGCATGATTTACAAGGACTCAAAAAACACAGCAAGAAAATGCTTTGTAAAATATAAGATCATAGTATCTAGCATGATAAAGCAGCAAAAATAATTATTCTTCAAGATGTACTGTGAGATAATAATGATAATTTCATGGCAAGAAAATCATGCCATGAACCTTGGTGAATGACAAACTACCAACCTCTTCAACTTGATTCTGATACATGCATTACTCTCGTGAATTCCATGATAATAATACTTTTTCTCAAATTATCCCTCCATGCATCTATATTCATCATAAAAATGTTTTATCTATATATTCAGTTTTCGGCACATTCCTTGCCTTAGATAGAAGAACCGAATCCCATCCAAAGGCATACAGTATACATATCTGCAGGCCTTGCTCCGTGGAACCTTGCGGTGTCAACCGAGATGAGTTCATCTCCTCCATCGAACAACATGAAACAAAACCCATAGTAGTTGAGAGTACTTATGGGCGATCTGCGATTATATATACACAAGTGTTCCATTCAAGGTAATGGAGAGATCGCTGTCACATTCGAGGTACACTGGACTCAAAATCATGTCAACAACTAAGTTCAGTCTACATTGGAAGTCTCTATTTTATGGATATTCGCAGGTGTCTCATTCCTAGTGATTGTCACATCAGAGATGGTCATCTCTACGATGTAACGAGTGCGTGCTAAGAATCTGGATGCTACCTACTGCTAAGAATCTGGATGCTACCTACTGTATCCAGAAAAATCTGGGTTGTGGGTGGATTCTTGTGGTGGGTTTCTTGAGGATGGTTTTTTGTCAAGAAGCAAGAACGCCGCGTGTATTTTCTTGGAGAATTGGATCACGAGACCATGTTTGAGAAGTACATGAGAGTTGCACCGAAAAGGTTCGAGTGTTTTGGGGTCCTGGATACCCAGTGGCTAATATCTCTGATGTGACAGTTACTAGGAATCAGAAAGTTGCGAAGAAACCATTAAATAGAGTTTTATCGTTTTTGTTAAACAATCATGTAATTGAAGGAATGCATCAGGAGACTTGTACTATCTATGTCTTTTAAACATACATAGTCCGAATCCTCTGATTCTCTTGTTCAAGAGTCTACTCGACTGATACTACTGAAGATGGACAGTTAAGTATGAAAAGCTCCCACTAATCAGCTGAATACTGCTATGACATTTGTGGCATTTGTGATGATGGAGGGGAGCTACTTTGCCGCGACCATCTTCCATCCATCGTCAGATTTCCAAATGGGAACGATGCCGTCCAAGATGGAGGTCGGTTCTTTATATGTTGTGCAATATATGGTGGAAGCTGATTGAACGGAAATAAATCTTGTTTCAAAACGATCTGACTTCTGTTCTCTGATCAGTACGAATGTGAATAACGTGATAAGTGCTGAAGATTTCAAGATATCAAAGAAAGATCGAATGTTTTCCTAAAAGAGATTGGTTTTGAGGAGAATGTTGTGAAAAGATGTGTCATCTTCGCTATTATCTCATTCCTAGTGAATGGTGAGAAGGCGAAGTTTGCAAGCACCTGTCGGCGTATTCAAACTAATAAAGATTGCAGACGGAAGATGTCGTGACAGTGCCACCATAGGTCCATGGCAGAAACAAAGAAACCTCGGCATTTCCCTGTCAACCTCCCTTTCGGTTGGCTGCCTTGGAAAATAACACTGCCACCATACATCATACTTCTCCTTCCGTGCAGCAACTTCATTCATAAACGCAACAAATGCTTGGACGGTTCAAGGCATCGTCGAAGATTGTTCAGAGACTCATGATCTTGCTCTCTCGCTTTATCCCATTTGCATTTCCACAACGATAGGCTTCCAATTCAACATACGTGATGATTGGCGGAAGTCCCAGCAAAGACAATCCCTGAAACTGATGCATCAAATTCTCGTCTCAGAGAATTGGCAAGAAAACGAACTAATTTCATTCCCCTGATTGTAAATCTCCTGAAGGAACGATGTCTACCATACATGCACAACAACGAAGCTTCTAAAATCATTGGCTCTGTCAGAGATTTTTGTCCACAAAATCCACAACATTTCACTGCGCAGGAAGTCGAGCAATGTTCTTCTCATTCTGAAGTATCTTCGCACATTGATTCTCCTCTTATTCGTGTGATATTCGATATACATCTCCGCTAAAGACATTAATACTCACTTGATGTAAGAACTAAGTCAAATTTTTTCAAGTTATTCTAATTTTCTGCTCAAACCAAACCCAATTCACAAATGTTTTTTTTTCGGCTAAAGATCAACCTCGTATCCAGAGCTGTCAGTATAAACCTAGCCACTCAATCTTGCTTCCAATAGCCAAAGAAGCATTACCAGAAGCCATACTTGCCTCTCATTCCTGCCCTTCAGATACAGAAGGAGATAAAACTGCGATATGATAGAAGGGCTTTTGCTTCTTTTAAGTCATGCCTGATGTTTGTAGCCTTCTTATAATTGGGCGATTGTACCAACTCTACCTCCACAGGTTTCGCGTAACTACTGTTAGATATGGCTGAACATGTGGCTTGGTTATTCCCTTCTGCCACTCGAGAAAATGAAGCGGTTAAACCAATTGTAATTCTACTTCATGTATTCATCATTATGGAAGTATAACCCTCAACAGTACTTGAATAACAATCGTTGAAAATTCTTCCTCTACATCCTATCAACGATGCCTCTTTGCCACTTATAAACTATAATTGATGTCCCGGAACAATAACAATGCTCCAAAATCTCATTTTCTAAGCTAAAAGGGTTGATATCTTTGATTGAGCTAGTTTTGATAGCTGTCAAACTTTGATCCAGCTACTTTAACATTTATGATGATTTCAACAACGAAAATTTATTTGTGTGTGATTTTTAAAATTCAAATCACATTCATTGTTATTTAGATTTGATTATACAGGTTGAAGCTGCATAATATATATAGTCTATAATACAATGAGTGAATCCTGCATATCAAAAAATTATAATACCGCTAATTGTAACCTGCTTAGATGTATAACAAAGGAGTTGCCACTGCAACATGTGAAATGACATGATTGAGTATCTACTAACTGTTATTATCTAGCTCAATAAGCATATATGTTAATAGCAAATATGATACAACCTTGGCTTAAGATAAGTGTCATGCTTGGGTTTAACCGGATAGGGGTTCACCCTGAATGTATACATGAAATTTGGTCCAGAAAATGTAGTGTCTAAATTTGTAAACCTCTGAATTCTTATAGCTGATGATTTACAAGTATTTTTAAGATGAAAATTACGTTCCAACTGCTGGGCTGTGCGGTGGTGTTTTTGATTCATTTTGCAGTGGAATAAACTCATCAATTGCTTCAAAATAAAATAAAATAACGTGCCAAGTAGAATACATGACGTAGGAAATAACAATATATATAGAGTTTCTAAATTTTGTAGAATATGAGGCTGAAAAGGATATGTTGAGGTCTTTTTATATAAATAGCATGAGGTAAATTCTATCTCAGGACCTTATTATTAACAGCTTTAAAAGGTTTCTTTCTCGTGTTAGTGCTCCTGTGTTGTAACTTGGGAATCTATTTGGGAATATTCTGAATTTTCCATGAAGATTCTCCAGTTCATTTTCATGTACTTTATGTATGTAAAGATATGACTTTCAACACAATGTACAAGATATATCATTGACTAAAAACTAAAATAATTTCAATCTGCTTAGATTTCTTTGGTTTAACTACCTAAGAAGTGGGACACATCATTAAGTATATCGCAAGGAACCTACGGATGTTCATTTCACTTAACGAAGGAGCACCGAGCATAATGCGTTCTCAATGGATAGAAAACACTAATAAGATGGTTGACTGGCGTATGTTATATTCCAGCTTATGCAGGATACATCTCTTCTGAGTCAATTTCTATTCATAGATTATTACGTATATATTAAATCTAAATCCGTTCGACACTTGTTCCTCTGTAAGATTTGATGACTTCCCTCTGACGTTATATGCACGCTGCAGTAAATGTGGATTTGTTAATTTATGCAAACGAGGCATCCAACACTGACCGCACCGACCGCGAAAATGGTCAATTTGGCATCCAGAGGGGTTGCAAACCATCACCATGAGAACGTGTTTCCTCTAATTGTGGCGATGTCGGCCCCAATGAAGGGGCAGGGCCAGGGCTAGGGACAGAATCCTTCCGAGAGACATTTCTTTCGGGGATTCGGCAAAACTTGATCATATCTTCAAACCATCCGCGACGATTTTGGTTGCAGCAGAAAAGGCGTGAACTTGTATCAATCGGAGAAATGGCCCGGAGGAGGGCCATGGAGTGAATTGCAGACACATGGAATTGCCCTCTGTCTGATCTCAGTCGCTCAAGCCGAGACGGACAAGAGAGGCACGAAAGCATGTGTTCCTGCACCAACAAGTGACTGCCATGGCACCACCTCATTAATTGGGCCCCTCGTGAGAATAAGTCCCCTGCCATCCTCACTCAAGTTGCACCTTTTCCCGGTACTTCAGGTGGAATGGTGGCATTCGTGGTGAGGCAAAAAAATTCAACAGTCCACCGTCGATTTGAAATGTGAAAGTGGGGGTAATATGCAATATTCACGAATATTTAATTGCAACACCGAGTGCAGAATGTAGAGACCAGAACGTAGTGCAGACAGATATCAATGCAGTCTTTCCTCTCCCTTCACGCACCAGAGACTTGTTAGCGCGCGATACGTGGGCAGTATCTGGAGGTAGCAGCCCCATTTTCCACATACGCCTGCTGATGTATTCGGATGGGAATCTGGGGGATAAGGCAAAAAGTATCATGACCAGTATAGTCTACAACGGAGTACCATAGGAAGAAGGATAGGAAGACCCCATCAAGTGCATCATAAGAGTATAAAGCACAAGCGCTTTGTAGGGGAGTGCCGATGGATGTGCCATATATATAGGGTTAGGCCACTACACGGAAATGGAAGGTCGAGCCCACCTCCGGATAGGGCGTGCAGAAATAGAGGGCAAAGAGGGCGAAAAGGTGGGCAGCGGAAGCGATGTCGCCGTGGTGGACGACATCAGACAAGAATTCAGCAAAAAGCATGGATCCGCAAGCCTAGAAAATAGCTCGACACCTGCACTCACCTGCGAATTATACGTCGAGTCGAGTCCATGATAGTCGGGCCCCGAGCGGGACCATCGGGCCCATCGGAACGAGGTCGACGAGCGCTGCTGCAAGAAAAAGTCGATGGCCCCGCGACCCGCAAGGACCCACCGCCTCCATCGCCATCGAGCCAAGAAGCAGAAGAAGTCGAGACTCGGGCACGAGCATCGCTCGACGTGATAAAGAGTAATCCTTAAATAAAATTGAGAATTACTCTCTAATTATTAGTTATCCATTAATCCATCTAATTAAGACTTAATTTAATTGATAATTAGAGAGAGTCTTCCCGGACAGGGATGGAGGAAGCGGGGGCGACCTGAGGCGGGGCCCACCGGGGCCCACCTGCCGTGGCGGTCGGTGGGGAACTGCGTTGCTGCTCGGGGGAAATGTTTGTCGACCGCGCGGTCGGGAGCTTCCAAGAACGGAGGGCGACTGAGCCGGAGCCTGAGCCTTCGGGAAGATTCCCACCCTACAAGGGAACATTCTGTACGTGGTACTGATCCCCGACTCGGCCGAGCGCTCGTCGTCCTAGTCAGTCGTCCATGTCATCGCCCGTCCATGTCATGAAGCTGGAGCGTCGTCGATTCCCAACGCCCGGCGGCCTGCTCCTGCAGACGCGCCGACCGTAACGTTCAGGGCCCGAAGGGAGCGGGCAATGAATGTCTGCCGGTCTCGGATTAGACAGCCCAACGTCTCGCAGCACGACCAGCCGGGCCGCGCCCATTCTTCCCCGGCCGATGTGATGATCTAGCTTCGGCACTGCAGCGTTGCCTCCCTCCCCCCAACTCTCCATCCTTCCCTCGGAGTCCTTTTCTCAGATGTGCTATGACAGCGCTGAGTCAATGCGCCAGGCTCGTGCGGAAGGAGAGGGATTTATGGGACTTTTTGTTTATTTATGGGTTTTAGAGCTCGGGCGTTGTTGTTGTTGGTGTTGTTGTTGAGGTGAGAATTGTGGCGAGGAGGGGGAGGGAGTGAGGGAGGGAGGCATATCTGGTGCACTGACAGGGAGAGGTCCCGGCGGAAGAGCGGAAGAGCGGGGCGGGAGGCGGAGTGGCTGGCGATGGGAACGCCGTTGCGGATGATCGGTGGATGCGGATGGTGTTGTTGTCGTCGTCGCTGCTGTTTGGGGTGTCGATGTTGGTGAGGGAGATAGATCGTGATGATGATGATGATGGTGATGGCGATGATGATGACGACGGTGGCGAGCGGGTCATGAGCGCACGCACGACTCGCAAGGAGAATGATTTCTCGCCTTCTGCTGCTCCACCATCCCCACCCAAACCACCTCTCTCTCCTCGGGCGGGGGTTTCATGATTGAGGTTCCCGTCTCGGGGATCGCTGCTGCTGTCCGCGCAGACTCAGACTGCTGGACGGTTTCGTTACTAGTTTTTCGGTGGTGGGTACACGCCTCCTTTTCGCTCCTTCTTCTGTTGAGCGGCCCCGGGCCTGCTTTCAGCGTCAGTCTGTTTCGTCGTCCTAAGAGAAGGGAAAGAGCAATAGAGAGGGCGAGGCAGAGGATCAGAAAGCGCATGCTTCCGATTCGGATTTGGACATCTGGATGCTTTGTCCTCATTGCTGGAGGCTTTTTCTTTGGTCATGAGATCTCCTGTGCGGCTGGAATAGTTGTCATCAGTTCTTCACAAGTGGCAATATGCACCCTCGGTGCAATAGTAGCGGTCTGTGAATGAATTTGGGCTTTGCCTCGGACCAAGGCCTCGGAGAATACCATCATTCAGTCGATCAGCCAATTCCGAGTTTGTTATTTTCGCAAGGCGGTGGTTGCTATAGCAATCCTCTGTTCCAGGAGCAGGAATTCGTCATGGGCACAGATGAAGCTAAGACGGTGCCCCACGGTAGTGATGGCCTACAAATCCCAGCAATTGGTTGTTTTAAAGTCTTAGAATCAAGAGGATATACCTCTTCCACTTCCATGAGACTGCTAACTGCAGATTGTTCCGAATGCATGACTCACAAGCGTCGAGCGTAACCGTACCATATGGGCAGTTAGTTACAGAATTCTCGTCACAGAATTGTACTTACTCCCTCAAACCCTGCCCACCATAAGACTGGTCTCTAGCGTGTCATACATCCCCAGACGGTTGAAGTCCTCTGCCAATCGTCTACCCCTGGTGGTCTAGAAGTAATGTATCACAGGGTCTGTGAGGTCGATGTCCGTCGAGTTCTTCCGGATTGTTGCACAAGTTTGCAACACTAGAGCTTTGACAGTCTCTCGTATCTCACATGGCATCTTTGTTTGGTGGCAAGAAGCAATGGTGGCATGTTTTCTTGGCATGACTCAGGTATAGACTGACTGTTGTCTTCTGTTTCCTTTCTTTCTGGCCTCTTTAGAAGCGGCGAATTTAAGGCAACACACGGTAGTCCAAGGACTAGAATCGAGGATGTCGAAGTCAAAGTCACTCATCGGTAAGAGGAGACGAGGCGGTGAAGATGAAGTCTACTATGACAACTACCATACGCACAAGAGATATCTCACAGAGGTGAGCGATCGCATTGAACTTTCCACGGTAGTCCGTTCATTCTAGTGCTACCTGTGGCGTAATTCTTGAGTTAGCTATCGGAACGACTTGTGTTTGATGAAACCTGTTCTGTGTGTTTGCAGGTTATGGCATCAAGTATGATAGGGCTGACTGTTGGTGAGTCTGGTGCAAACCGACCACCATCTGCAGATGTCATGCTCTCCCCAGCTCAAACCGAAACCGGATGCACAGGAGGAGTATCGAGATCCGCTTCATCGTTTCCCAGTCATGGGTACGTGAATTTTGTTGTTTCCAGCTTGCTGTACAACTCAACAAGTATTGTTTCCTTCGCCCCATCAACTGCCTGCCTGCCATTGTGTGAAGTGTATAATGGTGCCGAAAAACTCGCACAGGCGTGTTTCAGTCACAGAGGGGAGAAGTGAACAACTTGCATTCTTTAGCAGCAATTCCAGCAGATTAGATATCAGATGTGGTGCATACTGCCAGCTAGTTTGACGGCTCGAAGTGTGGGCGTTATTTGCAGAGACGAAACATCCACTCTCGACTCTCCGATGTCAGAGGACAGTGATGAAAGTGTGGGATATCGGCTGAGCCGCGGTTCCGAGGGAGCGCTATATACTCTACCCTCCTCTTCTGATCTACACTCCGGAAACTCTACCAGTCCGTGCTCACCTCGAAGGTTTCAGAGGTTGCCCTGCCATGCCACAGGACACCTCCCGGCAGGACAGCTTGCATGGACCAACAGTAGAGTGCCCACATCTCCAAATCTAACTCCATACACACCTGCCCCATCTTGGATAAGGTGCCCTGACTCGGAAGGACGGCTACCACCATCCCCCAATGATGCTTGCCAGTCTGCTGATTTGCGACGTGCAACTCTTCTGCGCAACCTGCAGATGAGGGCTCAATTACCAGCCCAACTGGACTCCACCACTGCCACCACTCCTGACTCGAAAAAGTCCTCTGATAATGCTGACGAGCAAGAGTCTGTTGAAGAGGGTGGAGATCAGTCTTCTCCTAGCTCCATGTCGTACAACTTTTACAACGACAACTATGGGGCAGATCAGATGGGATGCATGGGTTCTCCGAGCCCTTGTGTTTTTCCCAATCAAGTTGTTCGTGGGTCACCTCGAGTGAGAAGCCTGCTTCTCGGAGACAGCACGATAACGAATAGGCCCAAGTCAGTCCAGATGAACACAGAGGAAGCCTCGACCTCCAATGAAGCTCTACATGAAGAAAAAAGCAAAGCAGAGCAACAGCGAAAGAGAATTGACGAGGAGAGATCATACAAGAAGAGTAGGAGCCCTCGCAGCCCAAGGAGCCCTCGAAGCCCCAGGAGCCCTAAAGCTGGGCCGAGTTCCTCTGGAGGCTATGAAGTCTCCTCGAGTCTGTCACCCAAAGATGGTAACGTGTCGGATACAGAGTCTTCATTCACTCGGAGGTCTGTGAACCGGACGAGTCTGTCGAGAAATCCATCAGTGCGCTCCCGAGCGGACAGTAGCTTTTCCGGTGCTCTGGAGGCCACAAGACCTATTCATGCCCCAAGGTAGGGTCTTATAGCAACATCAGATTCGCAGCTTTTGTAGATACAAAGTCGATTTGGTGACATTTTTTCTCCATCAACAATAAGATATAACTCCGAGCCATTCACTCGGTTCTATCTTGACCAGCAGTCTTTCTGATTTCGGGCTGAACAACTATCAAAAGACCGATTAAGAAGACAGTACGTAACTACTCTGGTCACATTATCACCTGGTAAGTGGTCATCCCACACGGACTACCACAGGTGTATGTAATTTTTTCCGTGCTGTGCATGCTCCATCAACTTCGTCTCATTTTGTTTCATCGGTTGGCGGTTAATATTCACCACTTAACCAGGACATTGGACACTTACCGCCGTTCTCTGTAAGTTCTCGAATGACCTGAGCCGTTCCTCTTTCTGATACGGATATATATTACAGTGGTGTCTTTCTGTAACCAGAAATGTTTCTAATTCTATTTTGCGTTTGGTTTGCAGTCATCCAGGGTTATTCTGCATTGACAGTTTCTAGGCCGATGAACGAACCTAACTTTCATACCTCATGACACATTGTTCCTCCCTTTGAAAGGATGTCATCGGTTGCAAGAAATGACTAGATACCTAAAGACTGACCGGACGAGGATAACAATGCCTATGTCGAGTCTTACTCCTGAGATCGAATATAGTCTATTCAGCTGTGAAGCATCTTCCAGCTGCCGTGGTCTCTTGTTGACGGTTTTGTGGCTGTTGAACGCCTTATAAGTAATACACAGTAGCAACACTAACAAATTGCTTAGTTTTTAGAGCTCACAGTCGGTTCACTAGAAAGAGTTGTCCTTCTTGTTGCTTTTGGCCAAATTCACACCTCCACAAACACAATACACGGAATGGAAAGTCAGTGGATGATGTTTCCATTTTATTCACCGACTGGCCGCAGTGGTGTGTGGCCTGACCCCTTGTTTAAGAGACCAGAGGCTTCTGTTTCTAGTTTTGAGCTTCAGTGTACAAGCTATACATCGAAGTGGTTTTCTGCTTTCCGAACCTTTGATGACCTTTTGCATCTGAGCGAAGCAGGTGTCACATCTGTTGTTGGAATACGTCATGGGTATAATGTTTTGTCTAGCAGTTGAACTCTCCCCAGTTTCATACTTTTTATTTTGAGAGTTTGACTGTAGGTAATGGTGATCCAAGTGGGGAAAAGCAGAGTTACTTCTTCTTTGGGAACACAGTGGATGTTTTGCAGAGGTGATTTCTCTGGGATGCGGTTCAATTTCAGATAGGTAAACTTTGGGGTTATTGTAGTAACTGTGAGAAGCTTCTATTTCCTTAAGTTCTTGATCGATCTCAGATTTCAATCTGATCTGGTGAGCAGTATCGTATACCAAAGGAAAGGACTTCAGAGTCTTGATCAGCTGTTTATGTCCTGAAAGTCGTTATCAAGGAATGACTTCATGCATCCGCCGAGAGTCTTTTCTAATCTTTCTTGGCTATTTCAAATCAGATACTTTAAGCCACGAGACATGAATAGCAGCGAAAGTACACTTGAATAATCATTTCAGAGAGCATTCAAAACCTTTCCTGGACTAAATTTACCACCGTGAAATAGATGTGAGGATACTTTGCTCAAGATTCTCCAGTACTTGCAGTCTATCTGCCTCCGACATCATCTTTCTCCCTTCAGGTACAGTGTGAATCACCTCTTCACGGTCCCTGTCAGTACGTAGTTCTGATATTCAGCACCATTTGATGTCCTAAGAGAACCAAGGATTTGATCCTCTTTCTTTGTTCCAGAACGATTTGTTTCCACTGATATCAGTGATTCTTGTAATACGTGTCAATCTTAATGATTTTACTAGGAGTTTAATCGATACTAACACAAATCACCGAGAGCATTATATAAATCCAAGATATTTACATGGTTAGTTTGTAAGCGAATCTTCACATTTGTGAGAGAAAGTAACCTTTCTTCAGCCTGATCGAGAAGCTCTCTCTTCCGTTGACGCAAGCTTTATTTCGTCCAGAAGGAAAAAAAGCGATTAGTCCGAATTGGAAAATGACTGACTCGACTTTCACACCCTCTCTATGTAATGTTCGCATAGGGAACTCAAATGTTGCCTAACGTCAATCATGAAAGCCTCTGGAAATGCACGCTTCATTTGATGTCTACATTGTACTCTTCAAATAATTTCAAGTAAAAGTTACATGTTGTACCGAAGTGAGGTTCGTTATGTGAGCTCTTGAATGGAATTGTTGCATATTGTTGGGAGCTTATCGAAAGATGACGAAGCTGGGGAAAACGGTGGTGGACGGATGTCTTACTATTTAGGCACTTTGCCTCTGTTCGGCGTGAATGAATAGTTCGGCCACGTGAATTCTCTAAGTTCACGTGCATAACGGGATTGCTCCGCTATTGCCTCCACGTTCCTCTCTACAAAGTCCGGGCAGTCTCTTCGTCGTTTCTGTTGAGATCAAATTACTTCATAGAAATCAAATTGTCTTAAAGTTGCTGTCTTTTCTAGCTAGTTTATTGTTCGATTACGAAGCCACCGGGATTACAGGTTGAATGCATGTTTATGTCAGCTGCCATTAGAACTTAGCAATATCTTACCGATCGTATATCAGTCAGCCAGCGAGATCTTTTCACACGAATTTTTTTGTAGCATATATTATAATGCCATATATCTCTGCCTACCATGGGAATCACACTTCGAATATTGTCCTCTCATCCTCAGTCGAAACAGCTGATGCTGGGTGGATTTAAGTGCCTGGGAAAGAATGACAAATGGCACTCTTAGCTTCGAGTGGCAGCTCACCTGAAACTCTGTCTTTGGACAATTCTTGCCATCCCAAATTTTGATAGCTGCCGCACGTCTCGTTTCTTCTTCACTTACTTCCTGTAGATGTAAAAGAAGTCATGACATCAAAGTGTTCGTTAGACTTAAGTACTTATTGGTTTTCTGGTATCGCCAAGTATGTGAAACTTTCAGGAATGCAACCATCTGAGAGCTACATATCGTCGACTTTTAGACCAAGAAGTCAAACAGCATACACCCATTTAATGCGAACACAAGTAATAAGAACAAGTTCGACTGTGGCTGGAGATCAAAGTCAATAGCACAGTCTGAAATAATTTTGTAGCATGTCAGACAGATATTGTTATCAGAATTTGCGTAGCTAAACACCGCAAGGTTCAACTTCAAATGTTCTAAGATGTAATACTATCGTTTCATTCAAGTTTCTCCTTCATTCGGAAGGAGGTGTCAACCGTATTGTGACTAAACTGAAAGTTCAACTTTGCTCAAAATTAGTCAGACATGTAGGTACGTGGTTGGAGAAAGACCTGTTTGTAAAGGTGAGCCATTGCGCTCATCTCAGCAATGGCAACTTTATGATCTCTAAGATAGTTGCGTTTTTTAATTCTTGGTTTCTTCCTGAAGAAATTATCCCTGATCACAAGTACAACCATCAATTGTAATCATTGCTTGCAACGGTAAATAAGAAATCATGATTCGCATCGAAGCTCAGAGTCCATGGGATGCAATGGGCCCTTCACGAACATTGTAAAGGACTTCATCTTAAGATACAAGTTCAAGCAAACCACATTTTGCTTCCCAAATGAAATCTCCAAATTGAAGCGGAAATGAAGATGCATACTAGTTTCAGCGAAACAAGAACTGAACAAAAGAGTGTCACTAATGCAAAATATTTAACATGAAAAATTTGAGCATTCAAAATATTAGTTCTCCTCTCAAGGTCTAGATAGATGACTTCGAGTACAACATTTGTGAATCTTAGACTTGCAGCGTAAACTATATGCCAAATTCACCAAAAACTCCCGAGTCACTTCTTAGATCTTACCAAAGGTGAAATGTATCGAGCTCCTCTATGTATTTTCTGCACCTGATGCTCTTTACCTCTAAAATGTTATCTATCTTGAGTTACATGATTCAGCTTCTCCAACTGTACTACATATATCTCTGCGCTGAATCTGAAGCTGACTCTATGATCATTTCAACCGTCGTACTAAACGAAGAACGTTGGTTCTATTGAAAGGTTATCTGCTGGTCAGGTGGTCAGGTGGCTTCCCTTTCTCCCCATTGGACTTGTGTAATGATCAACCTCTCTATTTCGCTTGCAGCTTTTGTACTCCAAAATAAGAAATAAAAGAATGTCCGTAATACTGGTTTCATCAACCTTGTTAATGTGAGTTGCAAATTTCGTGTTCCTCATAGTTCCATCTTCCTTGACTTCTAAGATCGGTTGCAGCAGCCCTTGGATACTAATTACAGTCTCGACATTCTTCCCAATAGGAGCTGTAGAGCTCGGAATGCAACATAGTCTTTGCCAAGATCAGGTGCACAATTCGCTGCAGGGCTTGCAACCCCAGTCAATGAGCTCATTGTCAGCTTGGCCACTTAATAATGAACAATGTTTTTTGTGATCTTTTCTTGAGAACGTGCAGTCTCCATGAGCTTTGTGCCCAGTTCTCAGCAATAGATATGGTGATTCAACATCCTAGATCTACCGAGCTGCACTCATTATTTGATGTATACTGCAGGAAGTTGACGTTGGCGCAAGTATCTTCCTGTCCTCATATTGTTCAATCTCATCGGTCAGTAGATCGGAGGTTACTTCAAGTCATAAGCTTCCAGATCATCACCAGCCAGGTCTTTTTTGTTGCGACGATGGAACGTGTTTAGCACTGTCACAATGAGGACAAAAGAGGTATTGGTTTGGCTGGCTACATGGTTTTCTCTGAAGGGTGAAATATTACGGAGGAATTAACCATCCTGGTCACTTCTGATTCTACAAGCCTGCAAAGTAGCGGTGGAATCTAGATTTATAGTGGCGAAGGACCGCAAGCTTTCTGTGATGAGCCTTGTTCATGTACTGTACATTGTTGATTTCAAGTGGAGTGTTTTCTCTTATCACGAGGTATAGTTTTGGGTCAGGGGGTAGCGCTGTTTTTCATCTCAGTTCTTAAGTCGAGTTCAAGACACGGACTCTGACATGTTCACACTCAGAGTAACCTCAGAACTTGATCAGGAAAATCTGAAGAAACATATCGTCTGATCACAATAGTGGAGACAAGAAGACGTTTCAGCTTACCCCTTCTCTGATGACGGATGCATGACTGCATACACGCTAGCGCTGTTATTGCCCAAGGCACTCCTTCGAGTATTTCCCCAAAGCGCCAATGGTACAGCTTTCTCGGGTTTCTTCTCATTCTCATCCACATGAAGGACTGGATAAATGTCCTCACTTCCGTTTCGTTTTTCAGTTCTTGGAATTGCCTTCCTATATTCGTGACGTTCCTGATCTTGTTCGCATCTTTGAAGCCTCTCGAGCATTTGGGGACTTTCATTTGTTGTTCCTGTTCTATATTTTGGACCCTGCAGTTTCAGTAGAATATGGAGGTTTCAGTATATCTCTCCAAACATGGGTCACTGTGTGGGTAGTCACACCTTCATCCACTTTTACCTATTCAAAGATAGCGTTTAGGTTGACAAATATATTATTTTCACTCTTAAATCCCCTGTTGGTAAATGGAGATACTACACCCGAAAACGATTGATGAGGCACGTACAATTGGAGATTCTAGTCCTGGAGATGGCTAAATTTAAGCTCTCACGAGACCACGTGCCTAGTACATATTATACAGGTATAATGTGACTAAACATTCCTCCTGATGGATTATAGAGTTCAACTTAAAAAAGTTTGTGTCGTTCATTTTGTTAAATGAAACCTCTATTCATTTCCATGGACTTCGGAGCGATCGATGATGCTGCGCGTTGACGAGTTGTGATATTTAGAACAGAATCGTTCGGGAAGGAAGTCTTAGACGCAGTGTCTCAAATTCTCAGCATTCTTACTGTGTGAATAAGTAGAAAGATTCTAATAGTTAAGATTCATTCATTCACTTGTACAGGAAAAGGGACAAGTTTGCTGCCCTGTGGAGGTTTTAATAAACGTTGGGAGGAATAAACGTCATAACCAGGTTATTGGGCAGTTTGCTTGCCTTAGGGCGTATTTTACTGGTGTCGTTTTCCTCCTCTTCAGCCAGGGACAGGTTATCAAGCCACTCCTGCGCCTCTCTCTCCGCTAAATCTACGTGGGGCTCTCCGAATGCATAATTGACATGGCGAATGTCACGCTGTCGTGGCCGAGGCCGCCTCTTCGTGGTGTATGGATAACAGTAGCCGTTGTTTTCCCTCTCATCCTCCTCTTCCCCGGTACTTTGATGGTCCCTTCCCTCACCTCTTTCGTAATCCCCTCCCTCTTCCGCTTCGTGGTCTCTTCTGCGCTCATCTCTATTGGAATCCCTCGTCTCTTCTGATTCGTGGTTTCCTGTCCCTGGTTCTCCTCTTTCGTCTTCAGTGTCACGATCGTAATTTGTTCTCTCCCCATCGCCTTCCGCGTCCATCTCTCCGTATGCACTAGCCGTACCAAAGTCGGCTTATAAGTACGAAGATCCACAAGAACCTCTCGTCTTAGATATAATCATTTCATATTCTGGAAAACAAGTCATGAAGATCCAAACTTATCGCAGGAAGGAAATTAACCATTATTTGGTGACAGGTGAATGGCAACCATTTACTGGAATTCAATTATTTGGAAATCTTCCAACCATATTTAGAGGATTTAGGAAGTAAGATTTTCTCCTTCCGGACATGTTCCAGGATACCGAACTGGTGTATACTTCGTTGTTTAGAATGAAATCCATAAATTCGCGAGCAAGAATAATCCTCGATGAAAAACTTAGGAAAATTATATGTACATAGATCGCTAGCAATGGCCTTCCAACGAAGTCCGGAAATTAAATAAACCTCTCCTCCTATACCGATCAGTCGCACAGGACAACAAGCAAACCAACGAAATGCATCAAGACGACAGCCCATGGAAACTACCATACCTGGACAGCCGAAGGACTAAACAGTGCGACAGATTCACGACAGAGCTGCTATGGGGGTCACCGCTGTCCCAGAGATTTTTCGAAATGAATTAATCAAAACACAAGAATCCCAACGAGACCGTAAGCAATTGGGCAGTTCCCTCTCCTCCCAATCTGACGGAAGAATAAACACCTGCGCGCTCTTTCGGAGCCACGAAGAACCGCGCACACAAAAAAGAAAATCAAAAAACAACTTAGGACAAGCAAAAGGAAACCACAGAGAAAGGAAACAGCCTCGCCCAAAAACGCGCGCTCTTCATCGCAAAGAACGAAATGAAACGAAACCCGCTGCACCAGAAATACAGTAAGAGCCCAATTCGGATCGCTCAGACACGATCGGACAAATGTCAGTGCCAATCCTAGAGGAAGAACAATGCTCCACCTTTGCCGAAGGAAGGATTCGAGCGAGACGAGCAGCAGGCGGGCCACGATCGACCTTGCGGGCCTCGGAAGCTGGCGGCACCCACGAAGAAGCGCGAGGGTCAGAGAGATGGAAAAAGGGGAGGCCTGGCGCGCGCGCGGGGCCGCGGCAAGCCGAGGACGCCGAGCCGAGGTCGGCGTTAGTTACAAGAGCATCTTTTCAAATTCAGCGTCCAGTTTGAATGTTGGCGGATGCAACGTACGCATGTTCAATCTGTACTGTACGATCCCGTACAGTACTGTTACGCCTCAAGTGATGGGATCCGTACGTTTATACGGAGGCTTTGGGTCCGGTGCAGTGCCAGCCTTGAAGCGACTGTATGATATTCTGATGTTACTTCAAGTCTTAAGGCCCATGTCTTCTTGGTGATGAAATAATAATTGTAAAACAATATTGAGTTACTCAATGAGAATATAAATATTTTTTTCTTTATTTTATTTTGTAGAAGCTATAGCTCCTCATGATCAGGTCTTTGAGTTGCAACCTCATGCTACTCAAATATTTGATGTTCCTCGATTTCTTTTCACCTATTTACTTGGTTCAGGAATACATTCCTTGCATCGAACTAAATGTATACAATTGATCATCATCCTAGATAAGAGTAACAAATTTTAAATCATGTACTAAAAAATGATGCTATCATGTGGTAAGTGATTCATCATTTAACACATTTTCTTCTTCTGGCTTCAAAACAAACAAAATGTTGATGGAAATCAAATTTAAAATGTTTATGTGAAGGAGTCTGATACTAGACAACAATCATATAGAATATGTAATTATATAACATATCTAACTTCATATCCTCTTCTAAACAAAAGGCATCAGTTCCTACACAAGATTTATGAGTTTGTACATCATGTGATGATTCTTTATGAGATATGCTTAACCCATACTTCTGGAAATACTAGATTTTTCAGGACATAATTTCTATTGTCATGTTAATGAATTCTACTACCATCTTACCCATTGATTTCATCAGTGTCTAATTGGTTTGTTCTTTCAATACTTTCTGCTTTTTTACATATATTTTTCCTTACATTGAGCGAGAATATCTTCTTCATTTTTCAATGAGATTGTGTTATACTTTCCATACCAATGGTGAGAGGAATCTCCTGGTTAATATAGGCTTGAAAGTATGGCTATAAATTTCATCCATGTCCATAAATTTCATTAAGGACATTGTTTATAGCAATCAAACTAGAATTGTAGAATAATAGGGGTGTGTTATCAAGAGAAACACTGGTCACCTAAAGCAACAAGTTCCTATCACGTCACATGAAGTTGACTGAGATAGAATGGTAGTAGGCACGGTCATGTTTTCTAATAGAATATATGTAACTCTTATATGTCAAGCTTGAAAGTTATATTCTATTGAAAATGTTTATTGAGCTAGATTAGGCAAGTATGTGTGAGGTTTTTAAGTATTCCGTGTCAATGTAAATGAGCAATGTGAAGAGTTTCCACTTCTCGGATAAAAAAAACAAACCTGTTTCAAGTGCAGAAGCCTTGAACCTATGTGAGTGTTTCCATTCATAAGTTGAGACCCAATGACTTTTCCTGAATTTTCCGATAATGCGAGTATCGGTCCAGCAAAAAAAAAAAATATTTAATTTGAAAGACTTGCTGTAAAGACAGCCACCTTTCATCGATCTCGAATAAAAACAACCTGAAAAACGAAGACTAGATTTGAAATAGTGGAAATTTGAGTCCATACCGTTTTTGAATTCCCTTTTAAGCGTAATGCAATCGATATTTTTCAGTCAATTTTCAGAATGATGAGAGAAAAGCCAGAGTTCAAGCGACTCTGAAGCATGTAGAATAAGAAGGATTGAAGACCATTTCTCATCGGACTGCGGAGGAAACCACGGCGCTGGCTGTACTGTACCAAGTTTCAAAACTCAGAGTCACCGTCGTCTGCCCGTCGACTACGCTCTGGACGATTAGGGGCCACCTCACTCAATAGACGCCCGCGGAGAACGCCGCTTGGACGACAACCGAGGCGGTCTTGACGGGAACTGTGTTGTCGACACGAAGCCACGTTGTTGTCCACCGTAGTAGAGTAGAGTATGCAGTTGTTTTGCTCCGAGTACTATATCCGATCCCACAGTGGCGGGCGGTCGGGCGGGAGTGCGGGCCACGACATTCCTTCATTCGCTTCGAGGCCGAGAGACGTTAACGTGATCGTCCGTCGAGAGATCGTCGTCGAGCAGCAGCAGCTTCGAGTGCGTTCCACGAGCAGAACCACGAAGATGACAAATTGCTTCCGATGACTCCATGAATCAAATTGCACTTCGATTCGCGGAGTTCCGAGCTCTGTTTAATCTTTGATCCATTGATCCATGTCGTTTTCGTGCGCATTTCGAAGGAGATTTGGACTGCTGTTCATTCACGTCGAAAGAATTCGAAAGAAACTCAATTAGTTTAGACGAGGACTTTCGGGTTTAGGGTAACTAGTGAACTCATCACACGATGGTTCTTCTGATTCTCACCGTTGATTGTAGAATTTTCTAGACCCTAAGCAAATAAGTACTCTTCGGGCCAGCCCTCTGGTTAATAATTTGTGTGTCATCCTTTGAGCGGCTCAATGAAGTCTTCACATCCTTTTATGTTATCTACTTGGCTCCTCTCCTTCGTAATTCTTACACCGACACTCTACTTCTTCCATAAAAACGCAGGTTTCGAGGTTCAATCAAATGGAATTTTTTTGATTTCAAATTTTGGCAAAAAGTCATGCGATACATTTCTGAAAATTGTCTCCGTTTAGAGCAAAAGTTTGATGTCGAAGGCGACAGATAAGAAGAGGAGACACTTCACCACATGAACGAGCTCCTCGAAGCATGTGACGAGAGATGAGCTTTGGACCTCGTAACTCGACTGCATGCAAGGACACGAGGAAATGGAGCATTTTTTTCACATGATGAGGAAAAAGGGTTTTGAGTGCGATGGCTACATCTCTTGAAGTGAAGACGACGGTGTGGACTCTGAGGCTTCGAGTTGGCCGCTCGGCTGTGTTCTTTGACTTCTGAGATCTTTGACTCTGAGGCTTAGGATTTATCTTAAAGAGCTGACATGAGGACTGAAGTTTGAGACTGGACGGTGCAAGAAGAAAGGGAAGGCTAAAGCTCACGTGAGATCTCGGAATTCCACGATCCTCCCATTCGCCGAAAGTAATTTTGAGACGCTCGCGTCATATCTTATGGCTACCATGTCAAATTATTTGCAAACCTCCCTGTAATTTGGGCAGTTTCGGTGACTAGTAATTATCTTCTCAGAGGACCAGGACAGTCAGAGACGCTCTAGGACTCTTACAGCATCTTGTAGCTATCTGCCTCGAGAGAAACGACCCGGAGAATGCCAGTGACGAGTCACGAGTGGACTTGCAGTTTACACTTCGGCATGATCTGAAACAGTGCCTATGACTAAGGATAGCACTTTGTCGGATATAGTCAACAAGAAGAAAAATCATCGATCGAGCGACAGGGACTTGGAAGAGCTAGGGTTTGGATTGCACAGGTGAAGATTCAGTTAGTGAATGTGACGTTTCCTCGCCTCTTCCACATTGACCGCTTGGAAAGCAACAAAAAGTAGGTCTGCAAGGAATAAATTGATTCTTCGAAATCTTTTGTTCCTTGTTCTCGTGTTCAGATCTGCTGAATCAACACTTGGAATCACCTTTTGATCACACGGCAGACGAGGGAAGCCTTGACTTGGATTCAAGTAAAATCCAGTGCAACTTGTATGGCTAGGGAACTCTTTCACCTCGTCGTCATCATCGAAGTGACTCAAGCGTAACTCACTCCTAACCATGAAGGACCCCTGTCCACATTCCATGGTTCAACACGATTCACCATAGACACTGTTCCCAGTTTGCAGCCGTGGAATCGCGACCACCGTAACTCACAGCTTGTGATTTACACCGTTTATGAGTTCTACATCGTATGAATTAAATACAACTGGAAACCACGTCTCCACAAGTTGTGAACCTCACAGCTCTTCCAAACGTACTTTCGGAATCTGATCTCTGGCAGCTACTGTAGTGACAGTGCAAATTTACATGGTTTACTTATTTCCCTTCATGGCTGCGCGAATCTGCTTCTCCGGGCTATGGTCCATCCATGAAATATGAACTGGACGAGTAATCGCTTGATTGAGCTTAATAGAAAATGACCCTCGAAAGTAAGGGTCGTAATTGTTTCGCGAGATCCGATTTCACGTCAGGTTCTCAAATAGAGAGCTCGGAAATATCTACTGTGGGTCATCCTTTATGTTGTAGTTCCTGACTTTTACGCGATTGGCCATGTGAACCTCCCGACGCTTGACAGATGCTTGCAGCTTTGATCGTTGACTCGGAGTGCCCTGCGTGCGTTGAGAAGTTGCGTGGAAGGTACTGGGTTTAGGATTCTTCCTTAAGAGTGTATTAAACTTCGAACCCGAAATTTCATGTTACTCAGTGAATATAATTTGTAACCAAATATGCAACTGTACGAGACAGGGTGCTGATTTCACGAAGTCCGGATTGACTAGAAATCATGAAGGGTTTCTGAAAAGAGTAACTTTGCATTACCTTGTGGACGAAATCTGGTTGCACCTCTGGTCTTTCCTGGAGGGGTGTCATCCTTCCCTCTAGAAGTAAACGCCTTTCCTCTTTTTCTTGCTCGGTTTCCTCGTTTAGAAACACGTATCTAGAGTCTCTGTCCGTGGAGTTCTCCGAATCTTTCCTGTAGCCTCTCACACTTCCATGATTATTGATCCATACCTGTTTGTGTGGTGAATGTCCCTGGCCGCCTATCCTCCCTGAAGAAATCTGAGGAACTGAAGTGGGGCGAGGTGGACTTTCCCTGGAACGATGTGGATGAGTGCTGGCTACTCTTCTTCGTTGTTCGAGAGACGAATCCTTCTGAAATGAAGAATCCATCTGTGAGATTTGCAGCTACTCATGTTGGGTTTAATAAAGTTCTCAAGATCAGAGTTGAAAGTTGAAGAGCATGCAGAAGCACATGGCATAAAAAACGAACCACGAGTAAACCCTCTTGACACAACGATGTGGTGAAGGCATCTCACTGGACTCACATGACAAATCTGCGGACTGAGGTTGTGATGATGCCCAGTAGTTGGTGCAGACTGCTTGATCTTTTCCTGTTGGAGAGACCTGGACAAGGACATTAATCATATCTCGATACTAAAGAGTGTCAATGAAGTTCAGAGTATGCATCGAGCAAGCTCTGCCGAGGAAGAAGCCTTTGGGGAGCGAGACAGGAGAGATTGAGAAGCCCAAAGGTCCGATGTGATTCCAACCTGTTAAAGTCAGCATGAAGAGAGTTGCTGATTTCCATCAGTAGATCCCTCTCGTTGGCCATTCTCATCACGTCCTCAGCAGCTCTGCCCAGCTGTGTTCGCAGCACGTATTGAACTCTTTCCAGCTCTGCAATTTTAGCCGCCGCCTCCTTGAGGTCGTACGGAGCGCTGCAATAATCCACTTCCCTGGCAGAAATGTCACATTGACTGAGCTGACTTTTCTCCGATATAAAACACTGTGACATGGGCTAAGTCTCAGATTCTGCTCAGATCCTGCTCAGATCTCTCTCTACTCGACATCATTAATTTCCAGTGAGTCGTTTATTCTGAGTTCAGTTTAATACCTTTTGGAGGTCGGATCCCTCTCGTCCTTCCCCGTTGTAGCTTCTTGCTCTGTATTTTGAGGATGCTTGACGGTTTGCTGATCAACAAACATTTTTGGTGGCATCTGCTGGCCCTGTTGGAGCTCAGATGCCATACTGACAATCTGCTGCATCAATGTGCTCACCTCGTCTCTGATCTTCCTCATCTTCTCTATCTAATCAAACCAACAGGTAAATCTCGATCAGACCGACAAACAATCAAGTTCTGAATATGATTCACGTAGGATCTGATCAAAACAGCATTATATTGTAGGATACCAATAACTTGTCCTACACAATTTCGATATTTCGTATCCTGCAGAAGCATAATGTTTCTGTAGGATACGAATGTCGGCACCTTACATCCTGATATGGATCATCTTCCTATAAGTTTGGACCATACATCTCCCTTTTCAGGGCTCACGGCAGAAGCCTTCGATTGCGATGCTCCCTCCAAAGTTGTTCGCTGCAGTGCTTCCATCTCCTTGCGCATGGTCCCTGTATAGTGAAATACAAATGGCACGTTGAGGAAAGACAGCAATTGACAAATGCTTTCTTGAGACCTGGCTTGGAAGAGAACAACATTATGCGGTGCAAAAAACTCCCTGTAATACAACACAAAAAATTTCAGCTCTGAATTGAGTTCAAGATGACTGCCTTGCACTGTATAGCTGTAACTATTCATGTCATAATTGATAATTTTACTGTGAAATCTCTCACGAGTCATTCACTACTTTCGTCTATCATATCCTGGCACTGATCCATGATACTTTCACCTCCTTCGAGCGCTTTAGGTGTGAGGACGCACTAGAGGTTGCTCACACACCAACAACTGCTCGAATGCGCTCATTTTGCTCCTTCAGATTCTGAACGCTTCCTCTCAAGCATCGATTTTCTTCTTGCAGACTCGCTACTTTGGCATTATCTTTTTCTCCTGGAGATTCGAAGTCACCTGCTAGCTGCAAAGGTTGCATCCTCTCTGCAAAAGGACCCCTTGATCAGATGAATTCTCATCGATGTGAAAGCACTATATCAGGGGAGTTGTTCAGGTGAGGCTTCTGCACTTGTTTCCACAAAACACCATCTTTGTGAAGAATTGTGACATCTCTCGAGGAACTTGGCGTTCCTTGGCTAAGCCTCGCTGAAGAATAGAATTCCGCAAAGGACTGTCTTCGATACATGCCTCCTAACGTGATTGTTACCGACTGCTCAGAAGCTAGCTCATCTACAAAATTGAGGAAATCTCAATAAGCATACTATCTTGAAAGGCGAATTCGAGCCCTCACCTTCAGGATTAGAGAAAGTTGGTGACAGAAGGGGTGAAGCTTGAGGCAGGGAAGACCCGATAGAATGGGTACTGCCACCAATGCACTTGCTCTGTCCGGGGATTGGCAAGGACACGCCCGTGTATAAAGAGCTTCCATTTTCAAGGTCATAGCCGATGAGTGGCAGGGTGGCGTTTCTGCCCGTCTGGCGAAAACAACCATTATTAGTTGGCAGCTTAGAAAATGTCATTGCAAACATGAGAATGCAGTATGTCAAGAATCCCATCCTTGTAGTCAATCCTCTATTAGTTAGTGCGCAGTAAGAAGTGATTGATTGATGCCTTCCTCCATTAAAAAATTTAGATTCTGTGAATACTTTCTCAACGGTATCACCGAAAGGTAGGAGAATTTCTAGCAGCTATTAACTCGATCTCTCGACGATTGATGATCAATTGACACGAAGGAATGTACCCGCACGTTGGTTGTGAGCATTCAGCTCATATAAGCGAGAGGTTGACAGAAAGAAACATGATGATCATGATGACGAGAAAAAGTGCATCTAGTTGTGGTCACAGAACTCTGATATGCTTGAATGCAGTATTGAAGTTCTCATACTTTTGTTCTTGACTCAATGTAGGATGGAGTAATGACGGGCGCCATTAATGACACAAAAGTCGCAATTGTACGCAAATTCTGAAAATGAGTTAATTGCAATTATTGCCAGTATTTAGAGATACAACAAATGTTCTTAAAACTTGACATCAATCACTGGAGAATTTTCAAGACGAGATATGAAACGAGACTTCATCGAGCTGATTCATGGTAGGGGTAATACGTACATTCTCCGCACGTGAGATCCTATTTCCGTTGATCTCCTTCCATAGTTTTCTATCGCTCCCTTCTTTCTGCTCAGAATCCACGTGAGGTTTTTAATCCAGGACTCTTCGGCTTCATATGAGGTGGAGAACTATGCAAAATTCTGAAGGTTGAATTGGATTCCAACATATTAGACCATTTGAACAGCTGACGGTCAAACTCTATGAGTCGATGTAAGTTTCATGAGTCCAAATCTCTGGGTCATGTCAAGGATCCTGTACAAACTTCAAACAAGATTCTTCACGAGCATTCGTCCTCTTCATTAAAACTTTTATTATGTACACTTTTCTGTGCTTTTGTTGTGCTCTATTAACTTCCTGAACTTTCATGTGCGAAACTGCAACTGGTGTCACGGCAGAGAAGAACGCGGCAAATTTGTCAGCGTCAATCGAAGATAAGTAACCATCGATTCGAAAACCTTTGTACTCAGCACGTGAAAGAAATGGGTTATGAAATGAAGAGGGGTGTTGAAGCCCTTCACACTAACTCTCGAGCCCAAGTACTTCGACCATGACTGGATTGCTCTTATGAACACCCGTACATCATACATTCTTTCTCCTCAGCTCCAACAGGACATATGTCGAGCCAAGAATTGAGAGTTTGAGCATATGTTATTTCAACGAAGATCATCAACAGGGTACAAGTGGCTACAAAGTACGAGAATAATTTCCACATTTTAGAAGGAGCGCTCTGTAGGTGAGTTCAACCGCCCAATGATGCTACATACTCGTGCTCAATCACCCCCAAAAAAGTCAAAGAAGTTCATGTCGGTATTGAGGTTTGAGTTGCACCTGTAACGCTCTGTACTCAGCCAAGAGATTATCATATTGAGCTTTCCAGCTGATGGTTTGAACCTTCAGATCCTGAAAAATTATCACGAACGAGATGGGGTAAGCTAACGAGTGAGTTGCTGCGTGTGAATCTGCCGTCTCTGGATTACAGCTATCTAAGATCTGCAACCTATACATGTTGCCCGAGGATCAGATCTCAATCAGGATAGTATCAAAAGAATCCAGAAGGAAGCCGAAAGCATGCAAAGAGATGAATAAATGTTCAGCCAAGTAGAGGGCGTCCCTGAGCCCAACATGTGTGAACCTAGAGACTTGAAGAATATCTTTTCGACATAGGAGGAAATAGTATCTTCAGCGAGAAGAGAGCCAGGAATGACCAAATTCCTCCAGTAGTATGTAACGTAGAGTTATGATATACCGAACTATAGATCCTACTTCAACATGTTCGTGAGAGTGCCCAAGAGTCAACTACACTAGCTGCAATACAGTGTCTTGAAATCATTGTACATTCTATTTAGACAATGCATCATCTACATTGCTCCAGAACCAATACCAGTCAGTGTTATACATAGAAGAAAAATAGCGACAAGTGATGTTTCTGAGAAGCTGTTGTGTTGCTTTTAGAGCTTCTAACTTTACTACATCTTTAGTTCGATGGGGCTCAAAGTAATAAAGCAGAAAAGGAAGGACTGGAAGATCCCACGAGCCGTGAAGTGATATCTCAACTGCAGAACAATATTTACCATGTTACCCATCTGGTTTCATCCCTGCGCTACTGGACGGGTCTTCCCATCCTTTTCGCTGTATCACTTGGTGCCCACTCAGGTATGTTTGCTCTGTTCATCTAAATGCTCTCCTCCCCACACTAATATAGGAACACAAGTGCACGAAAAGTGCATGGGTTTCCCCAAATGCCCTCCTTCCATATAAATATAGAACAGAGGTGCACGAAAAGTGCATGGGGGTAGTCTCGTCCCTAAAGTTGTAGTATGTGCCCATCCCCTGTGCCAAGAAGAATGTTTGTCTCGGTTCCCCGAGCAGGTTAGCCTTCTATTTTCAAGTTAGATGGACATGCTGTTTATCATCTCGTAGTGTTCCCAATCTCACCATTTCGAGGTCGATGTTTCCGTTCACTTTAGAGGAGCACTTGGAAGTGCTGAATATGTGACTTTGATATTCCATAAGAAACTCAAGAACTTTTTGTTACGTTCCTTCTCCGGACATGGAGGAAAATCTTAGAAAACTCTTCCTAAGAAATTCCTTTTCAGATTACTCCTGGCGTATATGGTGGTATACGTAGACCTCCATATACGGAGGGAAATTGAGCTTTGAACGTGGGGTCTACAAACTGTCTAAAGGAGTGCCAGATGAGAGGATGCGAAAAAGAGGATGATGCAAAAGGAACCAATGTCCCAGCTGTTCATTCCATGCGAGTTTTAAAAACGATTTTCGAGCCTTTTCCACTTGGTTCATCATTTCATGTAATGTCAGAAGACAAGCGCTACTGAAATGATATCTGCTGTTAGGATACAATGGCATCTACATTTCCTATTTTTCGCGTCTTCAACATTCTCCTGTGATGAATGTCAGTTCGAGTACTATTGACTAGATTCCGTAGTTCTTGTAGCCTACGAATGCAACTGGAATCGAAAACCAGAAGAATGGAGACTTTTGAATCCTAAAGTGCAAACGAAACACATCCTCTCGCATCTGTGTGTCATCAAATATTGGAAGTGTTGAGCTCAGAGACATTACATGCCAGTGCCAAACTTCAAACATGGAAATATACGACCACCCCGCCATTACAGGCCTGCTAAGACCATTGAGGTGAAAGGGCTGTGCAAGAAGGAAGGTCAGACTTTGAGGAGACTAAAGCATGAGATCCAAGTGGAGCCAAATCTATTTCAAGGTGCCCAGCTTAGGACCAGCGCGCACAACTACGTTGTCTTCTAACTGGCTGGAAAATAGTCGTCGTTGGACCCACTGGTGGCCAGTGGTCACAATTGTGGTGGAAATTGCTGACTCGTGCGTCACCGTCACACTACTCTTTTGTGAATGATGAACAAATCATTCCCATGCACAGCATGGTGTGATCACACTCATGCTACACTCGCAAGTGTATCATAAGTGAACGACGAGCAGTTTACGCTTTCATAGCTACCGTTTTCCTGGCTCTAGTCTTTACTGGGTTTCAAGAAGTTGAATATTTAGAGGCCCCTTTCACTATTTCCGAAGGAATTCATGCTTCTCCATTTGTTTTTAGCTACAGGAATTCATGGTTGTGAGACTGTAAAGTCTTGTAGAAATTGAACGATACAAAGGTTGACGTGGTTACTTCTACGACAGCCACACCATGATGGCCTTCTAAGAGTGAATTATTCCCATATGTCCGTCTTGGCCCTTGCGAGGAACTCCTCTACAAAAATTCATGTACTGGAAAAGATGGAAAAGATGCAGGACGAGACGGTGCACCTCGTTGTCTGCGAGCTCTTATCGAAGAGGTTTGTGGGATTAGTGACAATTTCCCAGCAGCATCAGAAACATTGTGAGAAGAAAAGACCTGACAAGTAGGCAGACTAAAAATTTCCAACTAGGCGGTTTTGGATAGATCAGGTAATCCTATGGCGATGGGTGAAGAGTAAGACTCTTTTGCTCGACGTGGTACACGTTTTGTAAAGGGATACAATTTATGATATCTGTAAACTGGTTATTGGCTTCTCTATATACTAAGTTTTTGTCGAGTGATCGATAGCAAGACCAGCATTTGATCAAGTTCTAAGACGTACTTCGACTTATCATCATTTATATACAATTGGGTAAAGGTGAATTAATTGATTATAAGATATTTTATTAATTTTGATAGTAGATAATAGTTGATGAATATATAATTTAATCAATAATATTTACAAAATGTATCAGATGGCTCCATAAAATAATGTTAAATATTTTTAAAATTTAAAGTTGTTAAAGTATTTTCAAATTTCGTTCATTGTCGCTAAATGGAGTCAGACATTATGAACAACGTCAAATATTATATTCGTCCCAACTCTTACATTGTTTAAAGCTTGGTCATCTAAGTAAGTGTGAAAAATAAGATATATACAGATTTATATCATCATTATTCAAAAATGATAATTTAAGTCAATATCTAAAATATCAAAAACGTAATTTCTATCTCAATATTTTATAAGAATGTGTCGATATTATAATAAAATACATCTAAACATGGCTAGCTTTTAGGAGGTTAGCAGTTTGACTTAATATCCTGCGTGGGATATAATTATTTGCAAGAGGTTTGTTACTCAAGATTAAGAATATTAAAATATGATCGTTCCTGTTATGTAGATTCATGTTTCTTTCCAACTGAAATTTATGAACTCAAAATATCACGCTCACATGTATACTATCTAAAATTTGAAAGGTGTGATAGAAATCTTATAGCACAACAGTATCTACATTAACATTCGTAATAAATAGCATTTATTTTTGCAATGAGAAATTTTTTTGATGTAAGAAATCTTTAAAACCATACATTTTATTCATTCTATATAGAAGTTATAAGGATACGGAGAAAACTGAGAATCTTTTGATCCTTTTCTTATAAATCATGTGAAAAAACTGAAATATGGAAATATTAAGTACGTTGATCTTCGAGAAAAATTAATATTCAATTTTCTAGAATATCAGAAAAAAAAAATCTTAAGATCTAGCAAAGACTTACGGATTGTCAAAAAATTGGAGCTATACTTCTGAACTAATTCCATAAACGATCGAAGGAAGTAACCTTATCTTGGAAAATTATACTGGTCAAAAGAAAGAAATGTGTACGCTTGTTTCGATTGATTTACAATAATATAATTCATCAGACAGAACTCAATTCCGAGAACCTTAAAGGCAATTGGTCAGATAGAATCATCCCCAAAAAAAATTGTAAAGAAGAAAAGTGAATCTGAGCACGTGGTCTCGTGTTCTCAAAAGGCTCAAACGAACGAACATAAAACGTAGTACTTGAAGAAAACACACATGCATACTTAGTAAACCAGGTGCCATGGGATTACTGGAACGAGATAAATGTAGGAACTTGCATATTGTAGCGTACATGCGTTCCAACATGCACACGAAAAACCCAAGACATTCCAGATCTATGGATGGAATTCTAGGGGAGGAATCTAGTCAAATTCGGTAAGAAAGTGCTCTAAACGGGACACTTTCTATATTAGGTACCCCATTTTTATGGGATACTGTACCTAAACATTCCTATGCGTAGGGACCCAATTTATGTAGTCAGCAATGAAGTAAAGAGGAGAAATCAAGTCAATTAATTTTGGTAGAAGCGCATAATGATCTGTATAGGTTTATATTAGTACGAGAACTAGTAAACCAATAGGATCAACGAAGCAGCAGACTGAGCCTTAGTACAAAATATTTGTAAACCTCTTCAGAATAATCCAATGAACTTAGAAAATTCATATGTTGTAGTTCATGCGTTCATCAGGGATTTTCACTTAAAAGCCATAGCAAAGATGAAGTTTATAAAAAGTTAGGATAATTATCTCTACCCTTGGAGAAGGACAGACTACGTTTCCAGATTTTTATGGACTGGAACTGAACATGTTGCAGTCACTGCGAGGACGCTGTGACGTGGGAGGAAGCGCATGGAGGGTACGCTGAGGTATAGGACCAGATGTCTAATGGGATGCAACACGCAGTATCCACGTGAAGACCAACCACGGCGTGTGTAAGACCGAGCGCTGCAGCAAATCCTTGGCACAATTCTAACCCAGTATCTTCGCAGGTAATGATAATTATCTCATCCTACATCACTGAAGAGCAGTCCTACCACATAGATGAAATAAAAAAAAACCCTCATAAGACGGACATGATAGCATGCTCATGAGGGCGATGCGAGACTTTCAGGCTTGAAAACCATCGACAGTCCACCTCATTGAAAAATTCTCTACGAAAAATGAGAACGAAGTTGATGTTTTAATCGCTACTGGTATAAACATGGTGTAGTATAAATCTGGTATATATCTGACGAAATAAATCCGTGCTAGAAAATAATAATAGTTATTATATAATATAATCCACTTACTCCAGGAATAGTGGCCCTGTTTCTCCCCCCTTGGCCTCCGAGTGGGGTGTTAGCGGCCTCTGTTTTTTATACCCATACGGTGGTCTTGTCATCTTTCTCACTATTCTATGCGTGGCTGCTCTACCCTTCATTGAGGATAGGAGTGGTTTCACTACGTTGTCTACGTTGATCCATGGTGCTGAATTTGGATACTGGACATTGAACCCTCATGCGGAAACCGCTCTGCATTTCAAACCTCTAAAACCTTGAAAGCCGTGAACTTACCTGATTACAAAATGCTACCGAAATATTGTAACGATGAGAATTGGTCAAAAGAATGTAAGAGCTGTGATGGAAGCACTAGTATGAACAATTGACCGTCGCCATGCATCTTGTCTGGGGACTGGATATCGAAAAAGCCTTGTCACACATGGCTGACTCACTCACTGGGCATATGGCCGAGTACGGAATTGCATGGAGCTGGAATCTGTCTTCTCCCTCAGGACCTCCCCCTCGCGCACACTGTAATCTTTTCTACTAAATTACTGCGGTCTCGAAATCCTGGAGCAGGGCTCACTTAAGAAACCAGGCCAAGATGGGAGGGAGCAAGCAGCCAATCCCATCGGTTTGGCTTTTGGCACACGTCGTCGTTGCGGTGTTCCCTCATAGTCGTCCATCTCCTTCTCGCAACTATGCATAAGTCTGAGGCTGCTTTAAACAGTATGATACCTGCCGATGGGGCTACACTTGTGATTTCATGTCTACCCTCCCCACAGCTGTACAACCGAGAGAATGTTGAGGATCTGCAATTTGTTCTCTCTGCACTCGGACGTTGACGAACGAGATTTCAGACCCAGAGTTGTTCGACGTATCTTCCATTCGCAGCATAATTGAGCCTCTACGTGTACAAACCCAAGGGATGATGTAGAGGGCCCGAGGTTTAGACGATGTCACCGCTGATCGGCTTCCCTCACCTTTTTAGGGCGTTTCAGAATAGAAAAATCGAGCGATAATGGCTTCTCGTCACGGCAGATCGAAGCTCCCTAGGCTAACTTCTCTCGCCATCTCTAATTTGATACAATAATCTGGGGACGAAGTTGTAACTCAGCTGAAATTCTGGCTACCTTCGGCGCCAGGTGTCCCGAACTCGGGCATGCACCCCATTAACGCGTGCAGAGATTTCACGACAGAATCACACATGCCCGCCCCTCCATTAATGTTTTATATCCCGCCACAAAATTCCACCTTTCTGTCCTAAACGATGTATTATGATCTCTACGAAGAATATGTCTCCTAGCTTTCCAATAATGTGAACTTAGGGTAGCTCTGCCCTTAGAACATGGCGCATGGAAGAATGGTTCAGTAAAATCATGCGCTCGGTGCTGCCTTGCGAGCTAGAGTCTCGGATGCGAATGGTGGGCAAGGCATTTCCGGTGCAAGAAATGGGATGGACGCACACCGCACGCGAGGAATTTCAGCACATCGAGCCGAAGAACGAAGCATTGATGAAACATTGAGGTGAAATTGCGAATCAGGTGGCTGCCGAATGCGGCAGCAGAGCTGGGGTGTCCGAAGATGGCGGTAGGGAAGGGCAGCCTCGAGGCACTGCACCGCGGCAGAACCTCCGTGGCAGAAGAACATGCAGCCTTCTTTCTCCACCCGATGCCAGAGATCACGAAAGGAAGTCGGCTAAAGCTTTTAATATTCTGCCCCCCACGAAGAAGAATCGAGCACGAGAAGGAACGAAGTCCGAACTGCTCTCGACGAAGCGGTGGAAGATCGAAAAGTCTCTCGCGCGATCCAAGAATCAAGGATCGCTCGACACCGGGGGCTCCGACGCACGAACCGCCCGTCGGCCATGGGGCTCGGCGCCGTCCGCCCGCCCGTGGGGCAAGGAGAGTCGAGCGACGGGGCGGGGGCTCGGTCGGGGCAGGGGCAGGGGCAGGGGGACGGAGCTCGACGTGGGCAGTGACGGGGGGAGGGGCTGCAGCCCCTGGCCCCGTCAGTTGTTGGGAAGGAGGAGGCGAGGCGGACGGAGGAAAATAGGGGCTGGGGAAGGGACAGGCGACCTGGGGCTGGAAATAGGGGAAGCCCAAAGCGGAGGTGCGTGTGGGTACACCGCAGCAGGGGCAGGGGCCGGGGCGGGGCTGGCCCGTCGTGTCGCCTGCTGCATCTGCTGCTGCTGCAGGGCAGTGGCTGTTGGCCAGGCAGCGGTGGCAACAGCAACAGCTCCAGCTCCAGCTTCCGATGGCAAGCATCTCTGCCCCCAAGCCATCGTAGAGTATAGTATGGTACAGTATAGTGCTCCAGTACATTCCCCTCGCCCGCACTCGCATCATCGCATCATCCCCTCGCGAACCGAAGCTCGAGGCTCGAGGCTCTGAGGCTGGAGGCTGGACTGATCACAAGGTGTGCTGTGGTGGTCTGCTGATCCGAGATGGGATGAGATGTGGGGTTGGGGTTGGGGCGGTGTGGTGAGAAGTGGTTTGATCGCAGTCTAGCACCAGCATCCATGCTCTGCATTGCTCTCCTTCGGTGGGCCGATTGAAGAAGAAGGTCCCGGGTCCGGGGCTGGGGCTGGGATTGGGCCTGGGCTTGTTTGGGGGCTACCACTGCCGCGCTAGTAGAGAGAGCGGGGAGGCGGAAAGGGGAGGGCCGCTGCGAGGGTAGCAGGCTCAACGGCTGGCGCTGGAGGCTCTGCTAGTCTGGCTGGCGGGGCTTGGGGCTGGGGCTGGGTCTGGGGAAGAGGAAGTGGAGGGGGGGAGGGGGAGAGAGAGAGAGAGAGAGAGAGAGAGGAAGGGGGGTGGGGGGTGGGACTGGGGCCCCTACAAAGATCTTGGAAAAGATCTTGAGGCAGCGAGCGTCTCATCGATCGGCTGCTGTCGTTGCAGCGTTAGTATTTGAGCAGAGCTCGCGCCTGCTCCTGTTCTATAGATCCAATTTCATAAGTCGACGAGAAAGGCAGAAGGCGAGAAGCGGCAGGCAGCGAGCGCGAGCGCCAGAGCTCTTGCTCCCCTCGCTCATCGCTCGCATTGCCGCATTTTGTGAGTGTCGGACTGATCACTCAGTCCGTCACTGCAAACGCGAGCGAGCGAGAGTGCGAGTGAGCGAGCGAGCGAGCGAGAGCCGCGGTGTGTCTGTGAGATCCAATCCTTTTTCTGCTTTGCGCGCTGTGGGGCGCGATGGCCTCGTCCACCACCACCGCCGTGAAGCAATCTTCGGGTGGGCTGTGGTCGAAATGGGGCACCGGCAGCAACTTGAGCTTCGTGTCGCGCAAGGAGCAGCAGCAGCAGCAGCAGCAGAGCTCTCCCGAGGCGTCGACTCCCGCGGCGCAGCAGGAGAAATCCATCAGTAGAGAATCCATCCCCGAGGGCTTCTTGACCGTGGAGGAGGTGTCGAAGCACGACAATCCGAGCGACTGCTGGATCGTCATCAACGACAAGGTGTACGACGTGAGCGCATTCGGGAAGACGCATCCGGGCGGCCCTGTGATCTTCACGCAGGCCGGCCGCGACGCCACGGATTCTTTCAAGGTTTTCCACTCCGCCAAGGCGTGGCAGTTTCTCCAGGACCTGTACATCGGAGATCTGTACAATGCCGAGCCAGTGTCGGAGCTGGTGAAGGATTACCGAGACCTGAGGACGGCGTTCATGCGTTCTCAGCTATTCAAGAGCAGTAAAATGTACTACGTGACCAAGTGCGTCACAAATTTTGCAATTCTTGCCGCCAGTCTCGCAGTCATCGCGTGGAGCCAGACGTATCTGGCGGTTTTGTGCTCCAGTTTCCTGTTGGCTCTCTTCTGGCAGCAATGTGGATGGTTATCGCACGATTTTCTCCACCACCAGGTGACCGAGAACCGATCGCTCAACACGTACTTCGGCGGCCTGTTCTGGGGTAACTTCGCCCAGGGCTACAGCGTGGGATGGTGGAAGACCAAGCACAATGTGCACCACGCGGCCACGAACGAATGCGACGACAAGTATCAGCCCATCGATCCCGACATCGACACCGTGCCCCTGCTCGCCTGGAGCAAGGAAATCTTGGCCACCGTCGACGACCAATTCTTCCGATCGATCATCAGCGTGCAGCACCTTCTGTTCTTCCCGCTCCTCTTCTTGGCAAGATTCAGCTGGCTGCATTCGAGTTGGGCCCACGCCAGCAACTTCGAGATGCCTCGGTACATGAGATGGGCGGAGAAGGCCTCGCTCCTCGGGCACTACGGCGCCTCAATCGGCGCCGCCTTCTACATTTTGCCCATCCCCCAGGCCATCTGCTGGCTCTTCTTGTCGCAACTGTTTTGCGGCGCTCTGCTCAGCATTGTCTTCGTGATCAGCCACAATGGCATGGATGTGTACAACGACCCCCGGGACTTCGTGACGGCCCAAGTCACCTCGACCAGAAACATCGAAGGCAACTTCTTCAACGACTGGTTCACCGGAGGCCTGAACAGGCAGATTGAGCACCATCTGTTTCCGTCTCTTCCGAGGCACAACCTCGCCAAGGTCGCGCCACACGTCAAGGCGCTCTGCGCCAAGCACGGTTTGCATTACGAAGAATTGAGTCTGGGCACGGGAGTCTGTCGTGTCTTCAATCGGCTAGTAGAGGTAGCATACGCTGCGAAAGTATAGATCGACGAGAGTTTCCCACCAACACAGGTGAGCCTCGACATTCTTTGTACACATTCTTCATGTCTTTTGAATCTTGCTTCACCAGATTCGGCGGCCGTAGATTTGGGATTGGAGGTCCCTGTGATTACCATAACCTTTGCTAGTACGGTAAATAATGAGCTCGAGGCTATTTTAGGTCAAAGATTTCAAGGGACATCACGTCTATTTTGTACTAAATTAAGGATTGATCCCTCTCAACCACTGCGCGAGTTCGTTCGATTGGTTCAGATATGCCCTGTTAGGAAAGTGGTCACATCGTGAAGTCTGTCGTGTGTATATTCTTTTTCCGCTGGACCTCTGCCATCGCTCACAATTCCTCCTCCTCGTGTAACCTAGTAACTTACGCGTCGTGCTACTGTCAGATGTTCTTACTTTATCCTCCTGAGCGGTGGTCACTGAAGAGAAAGAACTCTACGTGACTCCGAGATCAGTGTGTTTCCTCAGAGAGATGGAAGTAAATGGTGGCCTTTGCAATGATTCTGTTGTGCAGTTAGAACAAGGGAATAGTACGAGAGAAGGAGACAGCAACCTGGACTTTTTGTTCCTGATGTTGCATACTTTCTCGAATATACGTCTCCACGCCTTCAAGTTTCAGCTTCAACTGATTGTCTTCAGTAACCATCGCTTGCTCCAACTGGGCGACCTGCAGAATTGAAGATCAGTTTTACTGAGTTTGTACCGAGAGTTTCCCAAATTTTGTTGTAGGCTGATGACCCAATCCTAGCATACACTTTAGGAATAAGCAGTCTCAACATAATTAGGTCCATCATTCAGCAATTTCGATACAGCGCCTGGGATTCGACGAGTTTACACGATGAGTATGGCTTGTAACTGGCCTTCTCAAGGTAGCCTTGGATCTCCCCGGGCCTCTTGCCATCCCATTCACCCAATCGAGATTCTGCAGTCTCCAACCTTTTCTGGAAGTTCTCAATCTGTAACCTCTGTTGTAGAGATAGCATACGCCACAAGACAAGGTCTTTGTGAACACAGTCGTCTAACAAACAGCAAGTTGTGTGGATTGGCATCTAAATAACCGCCTCTGGTCAAGTAACAGCAGGTGTTCCGCAGTTTCCAGGAACATACTTTGTTTCTGTCACAGCCAGGCGGTGAATAGTAAAGCCAATTCAACACATACGGGAGAAGATGGGTCGATATTTGTATTTGGCAGGGTGTCCAGATTTCACCCATCAGTCTCTCACTTGCTTGTATGTCCCTGACGTGCTTCAAAATTTTGCGCGGGGAATCATCAATATACTTACCATTTGTAAAGTCTGCTTCCGGTGTTCTGTTTCCACTACTTGAAGTTTCTTGTTTACTTGCTGGGCTTGATAGTCGGCATTATCTGCCCTCGAGTGCACGTCATCGTTTTCAGCTTGCAATTCCGCAAGCTCCTTTGACATTCTCTGCAGTTGTCACATACAAGTCAGCATGGAATGATTATCGAGCGTCATTCAACTTGAAAATGCTTCTGGATATATCAGACAGTTCTCTGATGTGTCCTGATCTTTCCCACTTTTCTGGTCGAATTTGTTGTTTCGTCTGCGAAAATTCACATGGGAGCTTTTTCTTGGGATCGTTCGTGTGTACTTTAATAATGCCGTCTTTCTCCTTTATTTCGGCCCGGAGTTCTCTTTCCTGCTTCACACCGAGGTCATTCCAAAGTAAAGTAACCACTCATTTGTTCACACACAGTGGAGTGTGAGCACAAAACATTCTGAGATGGAATGACTGTACTCGACTTGCTGCCTCAAACGCAGCCTTGGAATTTGGAATCGTCAGCTTTATAGAACTTTGCCATGCTTTTAGATTTACGACCACGGAGGTGAGACAGTATCTTATTATCACTTATTATCATGACTGCTCGAACGAGGGGAGATCCGTCTTGATGTTTTTTTGTTACCATGTTTGCGTCACCTCTCCTCTTTTGAACTTCAATGTCCAGCTCTGTCTCCTACACAAGCAGATGCAGGCAGACCGTCGTTGAAAACTCGACAACTGTAGACTGGTACATAGTGGAGCAAGTTTCTCAGCTGGTCATACGTGTACAGATATCAACAATCCTCCCCCCGTGCGCCAGTTAATCGAATCCTGCACGGACGTACTCTGTTCTCGTACCCTCTTCCAGTAGTAAAGAGGCAAGAGAAAGCGAAAGACAAGGCGCACGGTGTCCACCAACGAGGCGCAGCTGCACGAGCTACAGGACGTCGTTCTACTGTAGGCTGCCAGCGTAATGGCCCAATGGAATCGACATGACGATCCATGCGCACCTGACAAAATCAATAGCTGTTTCCTGAATCAACACTGGTTACAGATTGCTCCTTGGGCAACTTGTCGCCCGCTCATGAGTGGTCATCATTTACTGGTGCAGCATATCCCGCACCGACCCGGGCGCATTCATTGAGCCGTGCTAGACGAACAGAATCTTCTCGCATGGTTACTTCCCAGTAACTCCCTGCCTTGCCCCGGGAAAGGAAGCATACGTCGAATTGTATGCGCAACGAGCTACCGCCATTAAAGCCGACGACGAGTCAACTTCTTCTAAGAATCTCAGTGTTCGTGAGAGTAACATATTTATGGTCATGTACGTAGTCCCGCATGCACGTACCTAATCAAATGAAAGAGTAGAGCCTCAATGTCACTTACAGCAAGAGAAGGCTCCCCGGGAACCTCGCCTGTCCCCGATTCCTAGAGACCGAAACGATCATGGGCCTTCGTCCCATACTTTCCCGAGTACCGAGTGATACAGGGAAAGTATCACTCGGTACTTCCTCGAGGAACGAAAGAAACATGCATACGGGCGACACTTGTACGTCATGGCGATCAGCTGCCCTTCGGATACGGTCTCGTACAGGCCTTGTCGGCGTTCCTTCTCCAATAAAAGATGCAACATGCAGCAGCACCAGATCGAGGAACGAATACATTGTACTCTACTGTCCAGTAGGCTATGGTGTTAGACAAGGGCGGGTCACAATTGCAGAGACTTACGAGTTGTGTCACCTTCCTTTCGGCTTGTGACAGCTTGTTCTCCACCGCGTCCAGTGCAAGCTGTGAGTGGATCACAATGCAGTGAAATGGATTCAGCATCACAAAAGGCGAGAGGTCGAAAGGCGCACCTTTTTCTAGCACTTGTGCAGGATCAGACCTGGGACTGAAGCTCGTGGATCCGTAGTTTGTCATGATATTGTGATTCGAGCACTTTGCTGTGATTGTCTAAATCAGCTTGTCTCTTTTCCACCTCGGACATGAGCTCTGAAAAAGACAAAGCACGGGTGGGCTGATTGTCTTCAGAGATCCTTCCAGGCCCTCAAATTGGTATGCCTAAATTTATGCACGCTGTTGATTGAGGAAGCAAACACAGTGGCTCGGATAGGCTAGGTTTGGCTCCTTGCAAGCATTGGAATCGTATGGATATAGATTCCTGCAAGACTTGTGACTCGTCGAATGACCTTGCTCAGCAGACATCTATGGAGATTTTATACTGTTTGCAGCCTGTTTGGGCCTGTCAGCTGTATTTTCCTCCACTGCAAATGCATGTCCATGCAATTTAATTGTGTTCAGTAAGAATTAGCAGAGTTCCAGCTTATTCCCATCTTTCTGAGTACATAGGCATGTAACCCCACCACGCTGAGAAGAAGAATCTAACTCAAGGCCGAAGGCAGCTCGCTAGTTTGGATGTTGGCACGTCGTAATGTGGGAGAAAACAAAAGTGGTGAACTAGCTTTCATGTCTATGGATTACATGACTGACACACGAGGTCCACAGGTCGGTCTAAACGCTGACAAATACCTGCACTGGCAGTCTCAAAGGCTTCCTTGTGCATGGACATCAGTTGCTCTCTCGAAAACTGGAAACTTTCTATCTGCAGAGTCGTGGCACCCAATGGAAAGATGGACACACCAGATCAACTCTCGAGGAATCAGTCGCTTTTTGAGTTCACGGACAAACGGTATTCCACAGGACTAGATCTTGACGATAACAAGCAGCGCGACCATTAGACGACTAGTTTTTGGACGGAAGCTTAAACATTGGTCGTCGAATTCGGATTGGAAATCACAAAGAGGATCATTAGAACCAAGAGTAAATCGTTGCTACTGGAGAGCCTCCATTCTGAGGTACCTGCTGACGTAGCGTCGCAAGAGCTTGCTGATGTACCTTGTCCTTGTCCTCTGACCTTCTCTTTTCCTGCACATGACACCAGGATGTCATATGTGTCATGATCTAGTTACTGCGCAGCACGATCCTCAACGAGGCCCTCTCTTTCTTGCCAACCTGGCTCAGTGTGGGTTTGCAAACACACTCAGCAGATCCTCGTTTCGTGCTCTGCCTCAATTTTAGTTGATCCAGCAAATTCTGCAGATTTGAGTGACTTGTTCTTTACAGATCTCAAACTGCACTGAATCTGCAAAGGTTTGATGTCCTTTTGGCCACAGACTGTGCTCGAGCATCAGTCACTGTTGTAACTTTTCCACGTAATTTTGAAAGCTGCAAGGTGCTAGTGTTGCGAAAGACTACGCTCGATTCTCATCTGACACTGTCACCCATAAAATAGCTCTGCGCTGTCCTGGATGTAAAGTTTGTGCTCTTTCCATTCAGTCAAAGATGACAATCTACTTCTGCAAATGTTACTATGGCGTCAGTTCGACCAATTACTCACTTCCAGTCTCTGCGATTCAGCCTCGGTAAGCCTATCTTGAGTTTCTTCATGCTCGTCTCTTGCAGCTTTGATGGATATCTGTTCCAATTCGACCACCAGTCATCAGGGAAACAGCGGAAAGTGCTTCTCTGCCTTCCAGTAAGTAGGCTCAGAAGACCAGAGGCAGATTCACCCACAAGGATATGATGAAGGCATGTACGAGTTGTCCTCCTCGATGAATTGATTGAAGGCCTGGCATGGAAATGGTGTATTTGTAAGCCATACCTGTAGCGCTGCCAATTCTGCCTCGTAATGCGTCAGCTCCGCATCTCGCTCATCCAGTAGCTCGAGATTGTACTGGTTACATACAATGTCAAATTACTTCGAGCTGCGTCGTCATTTTGTTACAAGGTGAGCAATAAAAATGGGGGACGACCCACATGCGTGAGGAAAACCTAGTGGTCAAATTGGCAGCTTCCTCGTGCAGTTAAAAGTGTTTTTGGATCAGTGTCTGAAATTTCTGCTTGGTAATTGCTCAAGAGTCCAGCACGTAGAGAGCTACCTTAAAGTCTTCCTTCAGCTGGGAGAATTTTGCGCTCAAATCCTTGATGTGGCGGTCTCGTTCCAAAACCTAATCAGATTCGCGAGACGAGTTGGAACGATACAAATTACAATGTGGTCTGACTGTCGCTTACAAGGATGCGATGGAGTAAACAAATTGTTCATAATTCGTTCCGTGCTTGCGTGCCGACATTTTGTCCAGAGAAGCTCGCATGGAGCCAACAACAGAAATCGAGACAGTCTATCCGCTGCGAAACTAGCTCTTTCTCGATGTTCGTACTTCAGAACATCAGGAGCGGTGTCAGAGCCATCGATCGGGTCTGCCGCTTCGCAAGAATCCGCAACGCGGTGAGTGAGGAAATGTATGAATTCGCAGAAATCATGGAGTCCCGCGACAAGAAAGAATCCTTCTATGAGCACGTCCGACTTTTGGTGTCGAGTCGCCCACGGAGGAAGTGAAGAATGAAGCACCTGCTGGTGGAAGAATTCGATTTGCCGCTCGCAGATGCCAACGAGCTCCTTCTCCTTCTCCTCGAAAAGAGACCGAAAGTCCACATTTTCTGCCTCCGCGCCCATGACGTCCGTCAGTTCGCTGGACTCACAACAGCATCGTCCCTGCGCTCAATCGTCCCCTGCCTCGATCGCCTCGAGGTCTGAGAACTAAACCGAACCGAACCATTTCAAGTCAGCCATTCGCTTCGGGCTCACAAAATTTTCCCGCCATTGCTTCTCGTACAAAATTGTTCTAGACGATTCGAAAGCATTTGAATCACTCGACGAATGCATTCGTGCTAGGGCACGTCCGCGTCTTATCTCAGTCTCTCAGATTTACACGAGAAGTAAGATATGCACGGGGGGGGGGGGGGGGGGGGGGGGGGGGGCCTGCAGCAAACTCAAGTGGCGGGGTGGGAAATCTTTGGGCCTCGGCTTTCCAATGTGGAGTGAACGAGATCAATTCCAATTGCTACGATTGATCCGCTCGCTTTTTCCTCCACGAACCGAAGTTTCCATTTTCTGTGAGAAGGGCTCGCGACTCTGTGCAGAAATTGCAATCCGTATCGGGAACCTATCGACCATTTTCTTTGAGATCAACTGCTCAAAATTATCTTGAATTGTGCTACAAAACCTGCACGAGTCCTTCGCCAGCATCTGGCAGAGGCTCACTTCGTGCCTCCGGAAATTTGCACGTGCTCAAACCGGACGACATCGTTCAAGATACGAACGAGAGTCGCCGACGACGTCACTAGTAATGGCTAAAAGAATTTTCTTGCCTTGGAGTTCATCGGGGTGCAGATGGTCTGCAAGCAAATCAATAGTCCTTGTGCAAAGAGAAAAGACTTTTTTGTCGATGCGAAGGTCTTGACACGAAAGAGCAGAGCAGGAGTTGGTGTGACGAAGGTAGCTCGGCACTGCGAAGAAGGAGAATGTGGTCGTTCGGATTCGGGAATGAGAATGCAGTCTTCTAAGTCTCATCTCTTGACATCGGAGCAGGAGTTTTTCGTGCGTAATTGCACACGACTTAGCACCGATCTCTTCGAACAAGACACGGATCAAAATCCTCTCGTGTACATGGATCACACCAGTTCATTCCAATGAAGAAGAAGTCGTCGTGTATCTGGTACAAACTACCTGCTCAGTTGATCATCTCGTACTGTACAGATTGTTAAGTTGTGGCATATGAACAAGAGTATTTGAAACGCCGGTTTCAAGCCTGTGCATGCACTTACACAGTACCATGCACTGGCTGCCGTGTTCGTGTTTGACCCGGAGATCAATCTGAATTGGCGATGATACATTCACCTGCATGATGTGTGCCCTGCCCTGCCCTACCCTGTACCTGTGACGAGAGTGAACACTTTAACTTTTATAAGCTCTGTAGCATGTGCAGTCTGGTCATCAGACCTAATTGACGACTGTCAATGACGTTCTACTCCTAACAGCCACACTTGAGGTTCACATTTGACTGAAAGGTTTCTGATGTATTATATGGAATCCCAAAAAACATGCAGTAACTTCAATTCAAGAATTTTATCCTGTTTTCGTTTGACGGTCTTGGGGCCTATGCTCGTACTATAAAAAGCCTCACATCAAGCTGGCATTGTTAATAATCGTAAGAGGTTCGAAAAGTGTCTGCTAAGTGTACTACAGGAAATTCGGCACTCGAATGGCTTTAGGCTGAAGCAAGGTATTCTTAAGTCCTCGTAAGGGTATATAGTTCAATCCTGAAACATTGTCAGGGTCGTGGCTCGGACGATACATCTAATTGCAATACATCTAATACTTAGAGACTACTCACAAATCAGATGCGCAACAAATTTGGCTTTCAAGAATTACGGTAACATACTTTGACCAGATCCAGACTTTCACTAGCCACCGAAAGTTTTGGAACTGCAGTTACAGCACTTTGGCTGTCCAGCCTTGAATAGTAACATATACCGAAAAAAATGTCATCTGCAAGACAGCGGTTCAAGCCTCGCAATAAACGTCGTGGTGCATGAATGCTCGTTATACATATGAACATGAACCATATAAGCCTATCGAACCCTCTACGACGCTAACGGGGTATCAGGCAAACCCCAAAAATTATCTGACGAGCAAAATTCTCCGTTGCACCTCGTGGATTGAAGAGAGTGTAACGTTTCTACCTGTGTCTAGCAATATCCTACTTCCCCAAATATGTGAATCATTCTCTTGACTGAGAAGTGAAAGGGATTTCGCTTATTGTACATATAATACAGCAGCTCTAAATGTTGAGTTCTATGACAGCACAGGCTCTCCACTTAGAGTTTGCAACGTTGTGTCTCCACCTAACACTCCACCAACAAACGATTCGACTTCCTCCATTGTGATTGGTCCTTTGTGTACTGTATATTTGCCTTTACGAGGCTTGTAGGCTATCAAAACGATGTCCGAACCGCGGACTGTCACACCCTTAAAGAATTTCAGAAACTTCGACTGTTTCGAAGCATGAACCATGCTGTAGGACACTGATGGATTCTTCGATTCGTAGCTTGAGCCTCTACGAACCAGAGTTTTCTGGGACAGCTGCATTCAGGATTGTGAACCCCAGTTAGATAAAACCATGCCACTCAGTGACCCAACACTTCTAACACTGATCTAAAATATGAAGGAACAGATTCTTCCAAAATGGCGTTTAAAATGTGTAAATGAAATTACGCATAAGATTCTAGGTTATTGCGGGGCCTAATCAGACACAGGTCAACAAGCTGAAAGAAACTGTACGTCGTCCTATGTTGAGTTCAAACTTTACAGGTGACATAATGTATAGCATGCAACTTCCGTTCTTACCTCCGCTAATATCTGCTTAGATTTCTCCTGCGCTTCCTTCGACTCAGCAACAGCAATTATGCACAGAGGGGTGTTTGATCCACACAAGACGGCTGCGTTTGCTTTCGTCAGGAATTGTACTCCCTCCTCAGACCCTGGCCCTGTCGTTCCAACACCTGCTGCTTTGCTTCTTTTCTCAAGATCCTCTAAGAATTTCTTGAGCTCTTTCACCATGTTCTTTCCGGTTTGGGCAAAGATTTTCTCACTGGCCACAACATAATCTTCACCGTTTCCAAGCATTCCTACAACTGCCGGATATGTCTTCACACCAAATTGCTGTCCGATCTTGGTGTCCATCTTGGACTCAACCTGCAGCACAAGATTTTAGTTCGGGAGTAAAAGATACTTTGGGGAGAAATGTAACGATTTTCTTGACTGTTCACTACGCAGTTTTGTACAAGCCCTGTTTCACAGCATCAATCTTTTCGATTTCATGACATTGAATTCCAAGGGCTAGATGCTTGTGACTTACTTGCATGTCGTAGAACTTGATGCGTTTATCGAAAACTCCACTCAAAGCTCGCCAAATTGCCGGAGTTTCTTTCTTCTTCGTAAAGAGAACCGCCTGAGGAAGATCTAGCAACTTGGTCCAGAGTTGGATCACTTTCTGATTGTCCAGACGAGTGGATAAATTTGGTATATTTCTTACAACGAAGTCCTTAACCCCCTTTTCTGTCCACGATCCTGTGAACTGATATGGAGTTGATTTATCAGGTACTGTATATATTTCAAGGACGGGCGAATTAGAATGAAGGACCGACGGTGCATTGTCTCGGCACAATTTTGACTGCACTTGGCAATTGACAGACCCAACCTGCAATCGACAGATCCAATACGATAACGTCAGCTACAGAACATACCACACAAAGAAAAAAACCAATAACGAACGTCTTCGAACTTTCGAGTTCGCACCTGAATTATCCCTGACAGATCCTCAGCCATACTGTTCACGATTGAAGTTTTCTCATCCACTTCCGTTGAGCTGACAGGACGGTAAAAGAACACCAACCAAATGTCCGGCTCTGGCCCTGATACTTTCTCCAAGAATGCTGAGCTATCAAGCTGTTCAACTGCTTTGCTTATCTCAACACTCTTTCGTTGTTTGGGTCCTGAGTCACCTCCACCGAATCCTCCAAATGAATCTCGGGCATTCTGGAATTTTTTCCCAGCTGATCCAAAAAACGTGTCAAACATTCCTCCTCCTCCAGAGCCAAAGTCGAAAGGGAAATTGAATCCACTCCAGCCTTGGGACGCTTCCTCTTTCTTTTTAGAAGCATGAGCTTGCTGTTGACTTTGATGAAAAGTCCAGTATTGACCCATATCAGGTCCACCCTGAAAGTTGCGGTAGAACGTTCTTTGATAACCACCATCATGCCTTCCATGATGACCGGGAGAACCCCCACCAAAACCGTTGTACCCTCCTCCGGGAAATCCCGATTCAGGTGGAGCTCTGCCACTTTCGTCACCAGTCAAATCGTAATTCTTTCTCTTCTCCTCATCAGACAGAAGTTCATAGGCTGTGAACCAAAAAAACAAATTGCAATCAGGACAAGGCACAACGATGAACTTGTGGATCTACTTGTACTTGTACTTGATCAACACTATTGGAAAGGTATCAACTATCAGTAGGCAACGACGCGAACATTACTGTTCCGTCTGTTCCTGAGATGATAATGTAAGCGATAGTCCCAGATGAAGGTTCAAGACACTCACCGTTACTTAACTCGGCCATCTTCGCTTGTGCACTTTTAGAGGGATTCTTATCTGGGTGGTATTTCAGTGATAGCCTGTACACCGCAGACAGGCCCCGTCAGTCACTGTACAACGAGACATGGGTTCTATTGGCCTGGCTGTAATGACTTTAACATCCTCAAGTCCTGTTGCTGAGTTCAAAACCTGTTGGCAATCTCATACTATCTACCGAGGAGGTTGTAAGAGCTATCAGATCGCTGCTAAATAACACACAATTTGCGGTCTGTCGATCTACTTGATTAGAAGTCTACAATGAGTTCAAACGAGAGAACTGAAGCATTGATAAGAAGAAGTAACCTAACAGCGCTTAGTGCTACAATTAATCGTTCTGACGACGGCAAGCTTCAGAGTTTCAGCCCTGTTCAGGAAAGAGCAAGATTACATGCACTCACTTGTGAAAAGCCTTCTTGATCTCCTGTTGGCTGGCACTCTTATCAACGCCCAAAACCTGCACAAATTCCGCAAGTACAGAAATTTGCAATGAGGTAAACAATCGAACACAGCATCCAAAGATTGCGTCGGAACTGCCAAAACTATTGTAACTTGAATAGAATCACACAGGCCTCCTGTTAGCAGTTCACAATATAAAACCCAACACCATAAAAAACGACCTCACTTCATAACGCCTCGAAAGACATAATGAAAACAGAACCGATCGCTTCAGCCCAGAAAAAAAGCGCACCTTGTAAGGATCCTTCGCCTCTGCTCCCACCACGATCAGCAACAGAAACGCACAACCTAAAATTGGCTTCGCCATTGCAAACCCTTCACGTCACTGCCGTCGGAATATGTAAATTTGATAAACAAGCCCCGCTTACCACACCTCTTCTTCCCGTTTAAATTCCCTGTCCACCAAAGCTACCAGCAGATGAAAATCACATAAAAAACTCCCAGGTTCTGACCCTGGGACACACTTCGCCCTGCTACTTCCCGTCAAAAAAGGGCAGAGAACTCCGAATCTTGAACCCCTACTGTTATCCCACCGGTCCACGAGAAAATGCCCACCGCCTTTCCCTTCCTCCAATAGACTGGCTAACTCCACAACAGAAAATAACAGTGCAATTGCGCAACCGCCGCAACAATTCCTAACTCAAGAACTTAAAATCCACGTTTCGCCGCCCAAACTCGTCCAAATCCTCCTTCTCAACGCCTCACAAACCACCAAAACTGGTCCAAAAGAGTCTCCACTTCCGATCGAGGCCAGCAGCATCAACAACTCCGCATCCGAATCTCACCACCGCACAGTCTCGTCTCTCGCAGACACCTAGTCAAACCATCGATTCCTACAAAAGTGCAGATCTTCTCGCGTCCATTCAAGCCCGCGGAATCGGTCACGCCGGGTCACAGAGGTGGGGTGAGGGCTCCGATCCTAGAGCACGGGGAAACTCGCCGGCACTGGCACTCGCACTCGAACACAATGCGCCACGAGAAATCAAGCGAGCGAAGTCAAGAAATTGCTTTCTCCGCCTTGTCTCGGAGGCCCCGCTTCGGCGCATTTGAATCGGGCATTGGTGCCATTCATTCGTCGGACTGGCAAGTTCTTCGAAGGATGCAGCACAGCAACATACACGGACACGGAGGCTTGAATGTCTTTCCTACGTGGAGATGTCGCGGCCACGTGGAAACAGCTGTGACACGCCTAGACCAATCAGAGCACCCGTCCTTGCACCTATGACTTGTTTCTTAGCGCTCCATTTGTGCTGGCCCCACCGTCGGAAAGTTGCGCCATTGTCGCTGCGGTTCGTCGTGTTCTGTGGACGGTGCACTTTCCCATGCCACTCCCGATGGGAAATCAATTTGTCGCCAATTCGGAAATATATAATCCTGCGTGTCTGTATTTACGCCCTTCTGAGAAAATGATATATTTTTTTAATAGGTTCTGTGCGTTGGGCTGAGGTCACTGGAGAAAATTGATATTGCGGCGAAAGATCTCGAAGAAACAACAAGGAGAAGGAATGTAGGTTGGTCCACGGTGATGATGGTATTCGGCGTGCGCACCGCCGGTGCTCCGGTCAAATTATCGCTCGGTCGTTTTCCTTTAGACAAAACTGGCCGTTTCTATGTTGCCAAAATGATGTAAGCTTTTCGATGTGTTTTTCTATTTCACCTATAATTTCTATACACAACAATTCATGATAGTACAAAATTTGGGGAAATACTCTCTTTTACAATGGCAAATGCGCCAGCGGATGAACACGTCATCCAGTTGTTTTTTTCTTCAGTTTGGAGACGGTGATATTTTTCTAAATAAATTTTAGGTTTGTAAGACTTCCCGTTATACTAAATCCAATTATTGCCTTGTATTGAATATAAGCAAAGTAGTGTGAATAATTGACTGCTAAATTCTCGTATGATCAGACTAATGTCGAGACTCTATTTACTCTAGAAGAATATACTCAAGCTATATATTACAAGGGTGGAGAGCCTTAAAGAATGCTAATGTATGTTAAATCTTCATATCATGTGAAGATGTTAAGTCGCTTTTACATTTTTTGGAATAAGCCATTGAACATTGTGAGGCTCTCTACTCTATCAATCATATCCAAAGATTTTGCCGAAGGACTATTGTCAAAAGAGATACTAGAAAATAAGAAGGTATGTTCATGTGTGTTCACAAATCTGACTCTTTTGCGCTGCTTCAATCCGTCAAAAACACTAAAGCAGTAACAACTAATCCGTTACCACTAACGGATTGAAACAGTTCCCACTATCTTATGTTTACATGAGCTTAAACGTTGTATCCACTAGTCATGTGGTTTGAATACATTATCCTTTATGATGTATATAATACAAATTTTCTCCTTAAAAGTACTATATGTTCAATGTACATCATCAACTAGTCACCTATACATGTCCATATTCATGTTTACCAAGTATTACTTGACATAGGGAGAGGTGTAGTAGACATGATGGTATTAGATTGCAAAAATTACTATGTTAACATATTAATCTCATGTTTGATATAATATTAAGCTAATTTTTTTTAAACATAACTTCAAAAATATATGTCTTGATACCTATATAATCTTTGGTCCCCAAACGTGATAAAATGATAGTTGACTTGTATGATTTTCTTAGGATGTATGCAAATTAATTCCCAATGATTTTTGTATCTTTTTCTTGTGAAAAATCAATCCACACTTTAATGTTTCTAATAACTCAAACAAAACTTGTGAAATCTTGTCATTCTCACTTGTTTTCTGTTGAAGGATTTTGTACAAATCCGAACTGCAACTTCAATCTTGACGGAATCTCTATTAAACTCAAAAACATATATAGTTGTGATTCATTAAGATAATGTTATAAAAAATAGATTCCATCAAAGTTTTTTCTTTGTAATTATCTTGTGAAATTCAATATGTCATTGTAATTAAGCATGTAATTTCAGAATAATAACTAATGACAATGTAATATCAGAAAATGTTTTGTCAGAAAAATTATTCTGACATAGAGAGTCATTCAAAGTAATCTTCACAATAGTAATTTATATACTGTCCACCTTTTATTTTTACCTTTCTAGAATTATAAGTGATTTTCAAAAAAAATCAAATTTTACCTACTTACTCTGATAAAAAAAAAACCAATTTAACTTCTAAGTATAGACGAAAGCATAAAATTTGGTATATCTTGTATCAACCCATTTTTTTTCCTTTTCCACTCTTTGGTGTAGTTATACTTAAAACAAAGGCATTATTTCCTTTTTTCAAAAATCAAGAGAATCTTTCATATTTATTTCAAAAAATTTCACTCTTCAAAGTTATTATCAAAATGAAGAACATAAGATTTGGGACAAAAACACCGGTTGTTTTTACTCTTAGTTTCTTCTAAAATAAAATTTCATCATGTGAAAATTTGATTGCCGTAGATGAATTTTCTCTTGCACATTCAATCTATCGGAATGAATGAAATAAATTTCAAATCTATATGCATTGATTTACCTTACATATGTGTAATTCCTTGGTTAGATGTCTGATGCTGTGTTTTACATTAATCATTCATTGTGAAATATTGTTTTGATTTAAACTTTTTCTTGAGTAAATCACTAAATTTAGCTGCACTCATATATTTACATTTATATTGAAGATCTCAAAATATTTTAAAGTTTTCCTTCATACCTTGCCCATGACTCTATATCAGAAGTCTGATGTGTGTAAAAATTACGAAATAATATGTGTGAAGGAAAAAAAAAAATTATCATTATAAAGATTTTGATAACATAACTGCTTGAATTCCAACATAGAATCTTCAAACCATCTAGATACATGATTTATAAAAAAGTGAAAACAACTATTTTTTCTTCAATCATGTTTCAAATACTCTCATAGTCATATCTTACAAAAAGTTGAATAACTTCATGTTAGAAACATTAAGTTCTATGTGTTGCAAACTTTTTTTTTGTCGGTTAATTTTATCCTCTATGATACTAATATTATCGGAGTGAATTTCAGAATTTGGGATACATTTTTAACTCATGACTCTATTAAATATAAAATGAATATTTTTCACCTAAATTATATAAAATTATTTTTTAAGACTTAATTTATTTTTTAAACGTAAAAGAACACAAAATATTTGGACTAGAAAAAACAAAGAAACCTAATACTTCATGAGTTAAAATTTTGATGATTTTTTTAATTATTATTGAAGATCTTACATCAAATACTTGTAAACTTGTTTTAAATTACATAGATAAGTGCAAAAGTAATTGCACTTAAATATTATTGCACAAAAGATAAAAATCAACGTTTTTGTATATCACTTATATCTTTTAAACAAGATAAAAAAATTCTTTTTATATACAAGAATCATGTGTGTTTAGACTATGTGTTGAAATTGAAGATGCAAGTGTATATCAAAATTTATGATTCTTTAAGATGAAGGCATAGTAGTTGAATACAATTGTTGACATATGTTTCAGATTCATTTATAAATAAAGGATACATTGTTAATTTACATGTGCACGCCATGATAGCACCAATACTCAATGCTTTGATTGATTTTCTTTGTTCAAGTTTAAATATACAGTTATAAATACAATTGGAACCAGTTAAAGCTAACATACAGGTTTTACTATACATTGATTAGAGCATTATCTGAAAACTGATGTTATGGGCTTTGCTTCGGATATTGAACCTTCCATTTAAATTTTTTGTGATATCTATATAATGTATACATTAATTCGCCATGAAGCCAAGAACCATTACAATTAATTTATTCGGATGAAAGAAATAGGAAACTTGATTTGACACCATTTATCTTTGTACTGAATCTACAATATGCTCAAAACGTTTTCTCATCGAAAACATAATATTTGTTTTTATATATGTTGGTTATTTTGTGATAAAATACTCAAATTATCAAGAAAATATTTTCATAAATATTCGTATCTCATTTTACTATAATAATTATCGGGAAAAAGTGAAGACAACATGTTGCGATCCCAACGAAGAAAAAAGGAGCTTGGGCAGACTTTGAAGGCCAGAATTATGAACTTGGTGAGTCCATCGTAGTTGACAAAAAGATAATTTATTTTGTATATTGTAAATGTACTAACCACTAAACGAGGACAATCCATTAAATTCTTCGAAGTCCTGCATATTCCGTGATTTTTCCGCTTTCATGTATGCTGTCGTATGTATGTTCCTAATGGACCGGAATAATCGGAACCAATAATCGGACCGGATGAGGATATGAGATCCATGGATATCTGTGACAGTCGCCGGGACGAGCCAGGACGCTGACGAAGAGGGCCATACTCTCCTCTCGCGAGGGCCACGATGAGCTCCGTTGCTGCCTAGCTCGAACGAATTCTACGTGGAAACTCCTCTTCAATCGATGGCTGCGTTCGCCACGATCCCGCCGCGGGCTTTGTGCTGCTCCTCTTCTTCCACATTCGCTCGAGGTGCGTTTTGTTCGTCCTTGCCCTTTCATCTGACTGGTGTTTCTGTTGTGATTATATTCGAATGCTCTGTCAATTCTGGGCCTTTGTCCGAGGGCTTGTTAATTTTGCCGGTGCGTACTCTGAAAGAAGCAGTCGGAAAAGTGGAGTGCAACTCTGCCTAAATTTCAATAATCATCAACAATGCTGTCCGACTGCTATTCGAGCTGTCGCTGAAGTGATAATACTTTGGAAGTCAAATTACAATCGGGCACTTCGGGGAGTTGAATTTGTTTTCTTGGTCTTCGACCCACCAGCTTTTCCAGACCTTCACCAATTGTTAATTTGGGGCCTAGTTGTGGTTACCCATGCTGAATTATACTCGGGATGGCAATGTATTTGACCCTCGGCGTGAACTGGAATTCTCTTCGGAAGTGTGATCTCTATTTTTATATTTTGTTAATTTCAATGTACACAGTCAGCTCTGCTCTCCACTGACTCAACTTCCTCGCTTGATGGATCTGTCTGCTATACGAGTTGAAATAACTTTGACCTCTTCAACGCTTGTGCAGATGGGTCTTTCTCATTCCTAACTCGTCAGCCAGGAAGAACGAGCCTCGTGAAGGTATACCAGTACCTTTGTTCAATCTCTCAAGTCGTTTAGGGTCGAAGACATTGTCAACATTTTCCTGGCTTGCTGTTGACATATTGAGCATGTCTCTCATACGAAAGGATCAGCAGAGTCAGAGCACTGTAGAGTGGGAAATTAAAACTTTCTGTATTAAATAGTCCACAATGCTTGTTGAAGAAGAGAAATTGAAGGTAAAGCGAGAAGTAAAAGAGAGGAACATTTTATTTAATTCCAACCTCTGTTGTTGTTTTTGCCATTTGGCCAGAATGGGGAGCTCCTCAGAATACGAAGGTGACGACAATGCCATCCCTCACATATGCACCCTAGCAGGCTTTTTGGAAGTTACATTAGGTAATTGTCTCCCCTGTATTTAAGGGGAAGCCTTTGTGATAGCAATGGTGCATTGTGGTTTATGTTCACGAGATCCAGTGTGTGGAATGTTAAAGGATGGGCTGCTAAAGCAGAAGCTCACGGGTCAATGCGAAGCTCCTCCTAGTGCAGAGGCACGTCTTGTTTCCTCGCATGTTTGTGATATCCTTCTTCACTTAGGGCGGCAGTGTGGCAGAAGAACAGGAGAGCAGTCAGAAGCTGTCGCGGGCAATTGTATCCAGAAGGACGGTGCTGCACACTGGCTTGAGTCTCTGTGGCTCCACAACTTTGTTGGGAAATTTGGACGCGGCTTTGGCTGAGGACGAGCTGCCGATAACAAAAAAAGTATTCTTTGATGTTTCCATTGATGGGCAACCGGTAGGTAGGATCGTGGTCGGGGTCTATGGAACAGCTGTACCGATTGGAGCTCAGAGGTTCGGAGAGATTGCAGTGGGGCAGAGAGGGATCAGCTACAGAAGAAAGGAGTTCCAGAAAATCACGCCCACCTACATTCAAAACGTTGGAGTGCGCACTTTCAGCTTGAGTGGTGGATCAGCTGATGCAGCGAACTTCACAGGAGGTGAGACCAATGAGGCGTTGGTTGCCGAGATGGCCGAGCTCGACAAGAAGGGGACTCGGCTGAAAAACCTGAAAGGTTCTGTGTCTCTCATCGTGGTTGATCCGACGAAGCCGCCACCCAAACCAAGGTTCGATATGCATCTGACATCTCGCCTCAAAAAATCTCAGATATCCTCAAATAGCAGTGCTTTCTAGTGACAGTTTGTTTCAACTCGGATCTCAACTATCACAGCCTAGCTGTCCAATCCCTGTATATACGCGCGTTTCGAGATGATGCCTCTTTATCGAAGACTTCGTCATCGGAGATAAGATAAATTATCTTATCTCCGATGCTATGGACATTGAGCTTCACAGCTGCCAGTGGAAGTTGTGACACATCAGACTAGAGAAGAATTCGGACTTCAGTGATGGCTTACTAACTGCACCTTCGATCTTTGTGTCAGGTTGGTGGCACGAGATGGAAAGTTTTCGATGGTTGAGGAGGAAGCTCGTCCCGATCCCAATGGAACGGAGTTCATGATCGTAACAGCCGATGCACCTGAGCTCGATGCCAGCAATCTCGTCGTAGGCCGTGTGGTGGAAGGCTTGGATGTCGTGAATCAGATAGCCAATGTGAAGGTGGTGCAGGAGAACACGAGCAGCCCTTACTTCCAGTATGTTCCCGCCCACTCTCTCCCACAATCCCATCCTCTGCCAGCATCCGTTTACGATTATGACGCAAATTCTGTCTCTGTATCTTGATTTGTATCAGTTTCCAATTCCAGCTGATGAATCGTCCAGGTCGCCCGTCTTAATAGATCCGTCTCATCTTCTGTCTGTCAATCTGCTTCCAGGGCCGCGAAGTTGATCGGAGACACTCGTGTTATAGTTGCTGAAAAGGGATTCTACAGGCCATACAGCAAAGTCCTAATCATGAAGAGTGGAGAAGTAACGCAATGAGCTCCTCCTCTGTAACTTCCGTCAGACACTCGTATCATGATTCTCCAAATTTTGATCTGTAACAAATGTAACACTAGTAGTTCGTACAAGGACGTGCGAGGAAATGGCCCATATTTTCCGGCCGTGTAAATGCAATCAAGTTACTCCACAGCCCTGCCTCTGTCCCAGCGAGCAACGATAGTCGACTCTTTCGGCACCACTTTCCACCAACAAAATTCCTGCTCCGAATCTAGCAGGGAACATTCGGTGCCCTGATCATGCCTCGAATGCAAGGAAAAGTTTCACGTCCACGCCACACGAAGCTCCGTCTTCCTTCAACTCCGAGAACGCGCATGATATAGAAAAGAATTTGCAAGATCCTCAGTCCTCGTTAGTCTGTGGACATAATCGCGCTCTACACAAAGCAGTTCCACATTACTCCAGTCCTCGATGGTGAGTGCAGCAGTCGCCTCTCTCTTGGTGATAAATCACGTGTGTATCACCAAGAGGAAATAGAAATACACGGACCATGGCATCGTCACATCGCACAAAGTATGAGGAAGTGTCTCGCAATCAGCAATTCGTAAGCGTATGATAATTACCGCATGAAAACTCATTGCCAGAAGCCAGGCTGGCTTGCTGCCAACGTGGTGAAGTTTTGGCAAGGCCGTGCCCTGCCAGGTGTCACGCTGCCGCAACGTCGCGGGCAGAGCAATGGGAGGTTTGCGGTGCTCAAGTCAGCGGAAGTGATTTCTCCGTGGAGCTGATGTCCAGAAGATGCCCTTCCGTATCTCCACGTGGGCGGGGGAGGATAAAGAGAGGGAACAGAGCAGAAACAGAGTTCCCGCGAAGGACAGAGCAGCGGAGGGCTTACTCACGGCCTGGAAGGAAGGGCAACCACGGCCACGCCAGTACACGTACCAACCAAACTTCGCTGCGCAGTACCCAACCATGTAAATCCTCCCGCCGTGGTGAGCCGGGCCTGGCCCATCCGCCTCGTCGCAGTGCGCCTTCCATTGCCTGGTGGCTCGGGGTCTCGGAGCTTTGCCCGGCGCCGCTGTGTCCGTTTCAAGAGCGCGCGTGCAGTCCTCTGCCCGAGCGCACTCTCGCTCGCTGGCTCCATGGACATGGCGATGGTGACTCCTGGGCTTGCTCGGATTTCCTCTCCAGGGTTTTGTGCCTCGTCCGCCCGCGATACTTCGTCTCTAGGTGAAGCCTCTTGTTCGGGTTCTTGCTTGAAGTTTCGGTTTCAGTTGCGATTTCTGTGCCGTTTTAAGAATTTCCGAGAACTACAGTTCTCGGCGAATTTTGTTATTCGAGAAGTGGAGTGTGGTTGAAATTGGGCTGCTGGTCGCGTTGGTTAGTGAAGGTTGTGGTCGAAATCTCGTAGCTCAGTCGTCGAGCGTCGTACCTCAGGATCCCTCTGTTGCTGTTGAATTCTGTGACTGCCCACATGCTTCGGAAAGTCTGATTCTCGTTTTTCGAAATTTGGCTGCCATCACTCCACATTTTCCGAATGCACTCTCCGAATATCCAGAATCGCTATTTCGAGCGTTAGTGAAGTTCGGGGACTTCGGCTGAGTTTTCAATTTCGTTTCAGCCTCCCTCTTCTGAGTTGTCCAGCTATAGTAGCAAAAGATTCGTCAATAATATTTCCGCGTTTCATTATAACTCGAAATTCAGCTGTTTTGTCTCACGCAACTGTCATCGCAAGAAGCTTAACTACCCACAATAGTCCACTTACTTCCAGCGCTTTCGTTTCTTTAAGGTTGGAATTCTGAGTTTCTCGATTTGGTGAATGCAGGATGTTCCGGCTGCCGACTTCAGCTGTGGAGAACATCTCCCCTCGTGGTACTCCCCTTGCGTTGGCTATCATCTTGACAATACCATGCTAGTTCCGATGTCGTATCTGATTTTGCCCTATGCATCACCTTCGGAGCGATTCGTACCTGAATGCGTTTGTTCTCCATCTGGGGAAATATGTTCTTCATCAGACTGACAAAACTATGTGCTTGGCCTTTTACAGACCCGGGGACTTCGTGAGGAAAGGTGATACATTCGTCTTTCTTTATCTCTTTTTGCTTTATAATTCCGGTACACATTGTTTCCATTGTCCTAAGGTCGGATTATACAACCGAATTGCTTGGTCTTGGTTCCCTCGGCGATGTATAGATCTTACTGTTACACGATTTCTGAGATCTTATTGCGACTCAAATTGCCGTCACCAAGATTTCGAATTCTCATGGATTCAATCAATTCAAGAACCTGCAGTATCTTTGAATCAGTGCAATGGAAAGTGCTAGAGTCGACCTTGAAATGGGTTGTGTGTGCGAGGGGGGCACAAAATAAGATGGTTCCTCATCCACAGGGTTTTCTTGTGGACTTATGCTTTGTGGCAAACGACGTGCCTCGGTTCTTCAACTAACACAGTTTTGTATAGTGTAGGTAGGCAATCGAATCATGGTACGATATGCAGGGCCTACGACGAGCGTAAGCTCTCACACAAGGAGAGTTCCAAATTTCAAGGCAGGCCCTGTCAAGGAGATGGATCCTACCTCAAGCAGGATACCCGGTCAAGTGTGGCTGCCGGGGCAATTCCATCGGGGGTCACAGCCGTTGCGACTTTACTGACGATAGGAGGTTCACTTTACGCGTTGCTACAGCTGAACAAAGACAAACTCGAAACTTGGCAATCAAAGAAGGAGTGTCAGACTTGCTCTGGATCGGGACTTTGTCCCACATGCGATGGTGAAGGGTTTAACTTGAGAAATCTGTCAAGCGAGGCTGCAGCCAAAGCTAGGGCCAACGCAAAGGATGCTGCCACGCGATACACTGCAGGGTATGCCTCTCACTTCTCCCTTGAACCAGCGGGATGCTTTGGGCTCGCAAATTTTACTGCTTTCGTTTCCCTTTTCCCTCTGAGTTTTATGTCGACTGAAGATGTATTATGTGGTATAGGCTTGGAAGTGAACTGAACGTTTTTTTGGCTTGTCATACTCGTCTATATACCTTTGTTTTTGCCTTGGTTCAATACTCGTCTCTCGGAGGATGCCCTCAATTAATTGTAAATATTACACTGCAGACTGGCGAAAAAGTGGAACTACTGCACAACCTGTCAAGGAGCACGGGGATGTCCGGACTGCCAGGGTAGAGGTTGGGTAGAGTAGTGTTTCACTTGAGTCGAATGTTTTTGAGATGCAATTCACACCGATCATATTGTCGGTATTGTCATGTAGATTACGAACGACACGTATGTGAACCACTTGGATTTGGTTCACATTTCCTTGCAATCGCAAGCTCTGTCTCATCTGAGTTGAAGAAGAAAGTGGACGCTTTCTTTGTAATGTTTATGTCAAAAGTATTATGTCTGTCCCTATGAAATCAGCCTGCCTGACTTCCTTGTAAGGTCGTCATGCAATTATGGAAGCCTTAATGTATCAAGTAGAGTCGCTTTTTCCCTCGTTCTTTACCTCGGCGATGAACTTGTCGAGAAGTGTGAAACTGTAAACAGACCGAAGTACAATCTCTGTACGGTTTCTCTTGTCGCGTGTAATCTAGCAAGTCAGCTCGCTGGTGTCTCGAATGTTCCCTACGGGTTTGAAGTTGACATGTTCTCATGCCACCTCGTAAATGTGGCACTGTTTGTAGGAGCTTCGCCTCTCGTGACAGTTTTGAAAGTCTCTCTTGTTGTAATTCTTAATGTTTTCTCAAATGGTCAATTAAGTGCAGAACTTTTAAATCTTCTGCCAACCGATTATGAAAGACTTCACGTGGCAGACAATGTATCAAGCATGTTTCGTACTACATATGTCGACAAAGGGATTTATGGCTTGGGCATGACTTAGCAGACATAATTTTGCACTCGGCTATCTTGAAATCTGAGCTGTTCCAGTCGGAGATAAGTTCTTGAAATGGAACAAACTGCACTTCCCATGCAGGGTACATTGTTGGCTATGAGAAGTGGGACGGCATTTTCTGTCAAATACCAGCAGGCGGCCTGATGTTAATTCGAAAATCTCTTGAGCATTAAAATTCCTCATGGTTAGGACGTCAAAGATCTATGGTACACGATCTCATCTGCCTGAGGAGGAGAGTGCCGAGCATGTCCTTGGTGAGGATATGCGTGATGTCGATGACAATTTTGAGATTCTTCTTGTGCATGTGCTCACGAGCACGCCAAAAGGAGAGGAAGAAGAAGCGACAGACTCTCACAAGACAAGCTACGGATGAAGAAGAGGCCTGTGGTTCTATAATTGAGCTTTACACAGAGAGTGAGAGAACCGCCGCTGAAGCCAAACGTGATCTGAAGCTACACACATCTCTCTTCAAGAAGAAAAACTTGTCGTTTGCTTCGACACTCTCAAAAGGTTGTGACAAGCGGGAGCTTGGACCATTAGCAAGCCATCTCGCGAATCATCCAAAGCTTGGGGATAAAAAATCGCGTCAATTTTGGCAGGTAGGACGAATCTAAAATACCTTGATCCGAGTTGATAGAGTCTGATGGCTTGTCATATCCCCACCCTTCATCACAGCCAAAACCGGGCATGGAATACCTCTCTATATGTGGTTATGATGCACAACAATTTCTCGTCTCATTTTTGCCACGCAGGATGAGAAATTACACCAGCTTCTGAAGAGGGGCTTGCTGAGGATGTGGAGGTGGACGAACAAATGTGAACGACACAAAGAGAGTCAAAGCCTCTTTCAGAGTACTGCTTGTAATCAGGTTTGTGAATATTCGAGCATACACTAGAAACTAGCGGACATTGGATCCTTCCGGGAATCACAGATGGCTGCATGTTTTGTTGGTGGTACCTGCTGTCATCCCCTTCAGCGCCGTGTTCTTTTGGAGTAGAATTTATCCATTCCGAAATGTCATTCAGTCTCCTCTGCAACCATCTGCTGGATGTGCAGGTTACGAAAAGAGGGTTATTTTCGGATGGGAAAGATTCTGGGGACACCATGGAGGAAGAGTCGAGAGTCCCTGCAATTGCCTGGGGAGAATCTTCAGAGACATATGAGTTTGAAACGCCCTCTTGCAGTTATAGGCAGGATGAGAGCAACAAAAGACCGGCGGGCACTCAAGATCTGGAGGAGACCCTGAAGACTTTGCTGGATGATTTCTTGCAGAAAGATGGGGCGCCAACTTTTAGTTACAAGGAATGTTTGGAGTATTTTGGTGACACTTGTCCTTGTCGATTTTTGCTTCCGAACCAAATAGCTGGCATGGACCTCAGATTTCGAGCGACATCATCGTCACTACCTCCAGTGTCTACTGAGATCGAACTCAGAGTTGAGCCACGGGTTGCATTCGAGGACTTAGAATACCGTAGAACTGAGGATCCAGAGGAACCGGCAGAGCGAGAGGTTGAGATAATCCGATAGCAATTGTGAGTTTGCTTCGCAGATGCTCCATTGATGCCGATATGGGCCAAAACTTTCACGCTTGAATAATTTTTGAACAGTGTACACGATAAGGGTCTTGGACGATTTCAAACACACGTTTGAGCATACCTTACAAAGTCATGTACGGTTTTGGTGGTTTACGCTTATTCGGTCACAAGGGTGTGGAGGACTTGGATTGTTAAATTAGGGATATCATCATTTATCCTTCAAGTGCTCTAGGCAGTAGCTAGAAAAGGGTCTTCAGGATTTTTTCCCCGGTCATTGAGTGAATGATTTGTCATATGCTTTTCTACCTTTTGACCCTCTGGGTCCCACGGCTTGATGTGTTTACCATTTATTCAGCAGACAATGATGACGGTCGTTTTGGCCGGATACGACCGAATATAACTGTTTATATATTCTTTTCTCTTCCACAGCGCCTGATTGAATCAAATTTCCCATGTTCTCCTCTGCTTGGAGTCTTCGTGACTGTAGTGCATGTATCGACGACATCCGTTTGTCGAAGCTCCATGGTTCTCCTTCCTTCTAGTATTGAAGAACCTATTATACGGAACTAATTCCACAGGTATCTAGCTCAGACGTAAAATCTGCGTGCAATTCATATCGGTTGACTACTGCGTGGAACAACCAAGCCCCAGGTTACAAAGTCACAGCAGAAATATCATCACAACAATTCATCACATCCTTTTGACAATATGAGCTCATCTACATATACCAAAATGAATGTGAAAGTGAAGGCAACTAAGACCTGGTACAGTGAGAGTAAGAAGGGCGTGCAAAACATGATTAGGAACAGAAGAATTTTGTCCAGCAAGGAGCACTTCGTACATCCCGATCGGACGGTTGAAGCTCTGTGTTTCATTTCCTCCAAAATTTTGGACCTCCGGCCACCCACCGTTGTCCACTTGCGGGAGTTGAATTACATCATTGCATTTCCGAGTCTCCGGAATGTAGGCGTGATTTCTACAATTTACAGAGTTCCTTCAAGACATTCATCGAGTATTATACCAAATGATTTGCGCTATTGCGATAATACTTCGCAGATGCGCCCGGACACTTTCTCTTGCTTCAGAGCTAAAGATGACCTATGGTGCAATCATCTAAGATCCTTTCGTAGACTGTACATCTGATTTACAATTTCTAACTACACAACGCACGAGGTGAGGTATCGATCAGAGTGCGAGCTACACTCTGATTAATCAGTAGAGCCGCACTCCTAAGGTAGCCATGAGGACGATGTTGGCCACAATCACCACGGTGACGACGCTGAACATCCAGTCCGTAACTTTGGCTCTCGGATTGTACTTATCGCGGTATAAATTGAAAGCAAAATAAGAAACCACAGGGAAAGCCAATACCGTGGGGACAAGCCACGAAGGAGCTCTAGATGCTGCCTCCGCGGACTCTGGATTCGGCTGAATGCTAAGTACAGACTCCAATCCCATGGCATCCATAGCAGATGCTCCCTGCAGTCCGATGCTGGCAGCCAGAGCTGCTCCGAGACCGAGCCAGGACTTGTCTCGCAAGGTCGATTTGTCGTCAGAAGAGGCAGAGGACACTTTCTGCAGCTCGAGCAGGCAGACCGAATCTTCTTCGTCCTCACAGCCGAGAAGTTGCCAGTCCTGAGCGTCGACTGTGGAAATGGATGAAAGCGCTTCCTGCGCCAGAAGTGAGGACGAGTCCACTTCCTCGCCCTGGAACTGAAACCAAGCATGCAGCAGGCGCTGCTCTGGCTTCATGGCTTCAGGAGTCTCGGCTCCCCCATAGGTGAAAACTCTTCGGTGAAGCTCGGCGGCCTCGTTCTCCCAGTCGAAAGATGTGTCGACGCCTCTGGCCAGATGTTGAGCTGCCTGCAAATTGGCTTGCATGCGCAGCTCCTCTGCAGCAGATTCATAACTCCACCCCATATCCTCCATCGCGGGACCTCCGAGTGGGACATCGATGTCTTCCGCCATGCTATCGTGTATCCACGAGTTCATCTCCTTCTCGAGTTTGCGAAGATGCAGCGCTTTCGGCCCCGCGGACTCCAGAGAATGCAGCGCCTGCGAATGCAACTCATCGACCAGCCGTCTCCAGTCCATGTCGGCGCATTGGGCGAGCAAAGCCGGGGACTCTCTCTCCAAATCGTGCGCCTCGATGCTCGAAAACAGAGGCTCTTCTTGCAAGATTGCAACCGGAGCAGAAGGCGCGGCAGCAGAAGGCGGAGCGCGAGACGACCGCCCGCCCTTGGGCCTCGGGGTCGAAACGCACAATCTCGAAGCTCGTCTGCTCCTCTGCGACAATCCGCTGCCTGCGAGACCGAGGCGCGACCTGAGGGAGCAGCAACACTCCGCCGACGAAGTCGAAGCGCGGAAAGGCACCGGCCCCGCTGCGGCGCTCACTCTCTCCACGGCCACCACGCACTGCGACTGGAGCGCTGCTGCTCTTCCCACGGCCTCCATCGTTCCTCCTCGACCGATTTCTCCGTCCGACAAGTCGATTCTCTCTCCCTCTCGTCCTCGTCCGATTTCGGAGCAGCACTCTGACTCTACCGAGCGCACGGAAGCAACAACATCCGGACCCTCCCTCGACCTATCTTCGACCTTCGTATCAAGAAAACACACACGAAGCCGGCCCCAGAAGGAAATGTGGCGACGATCGACGAGCAGCAGCAGCAGCAGCACTCGATGCAGGACTCTGGACACGGACAGTTAGAAGAGTTTCGCATTGAGGGTAGTTTTTCAAGTACGGGACAAGAACGCGAGATACGGCAGTGGAAATTTGGGTGGCAAGCAGCACTTGCTGCGGGGGAGGAGAGGATAAGGTGCCGAGGGTGGCGTGAAGAATGTCATCACTATTCGAGATAGAATGGGAAAGGCAGACATGCGCCCATGGGCAGCCATGCTAAAGGCGGCTCTCGGTAGGTAGCCCAGGGCTTCGGCCACTCGAGAAACTCATCGGCCTGACTCGGATCCCCACCTCGCCATCATCGCATATTCGCGAAATTCCCCATTTCTTGGATCGCCCGGGCTGCGGTGCTCCCACTCGATTGACTCGATCCTATGGGGAGGGAGAAGCTCCCTGTGGCCTGCAGCAATATGATTCGCCCGCGACATTGAAAAGCAGAGGCGAGCGGGGCCCACGGGAACTCGAGGAAAGCAGCAGCACCCAAAAAAAGAGGAAAGATGGAAAGCTTTCGAGGGAGCGAGTGCCGACGGAGAAGCTCGCAAAAGCGCAATCGAGCATGCTGCACATCGGATCGATCATTCCCGTGCGTTGGCGCCATCTGGCGAAACGCGACAATTGTCTGCAAAAGGGCGACGCCAAAAGGTCGAAAGCGGACAAGCCATTTGCATCGGCCTGACGCTCTCGTAGGGGCGCTCGTCGTGCTCGATGGAGGCGCAGGACTCAATGCTATTCGATTCGAATGCGATTTCGACGGTGCGTGCTTGAGCTTTGCCTTTTGCAGTGGCTGCTTCTTCTGGTTTACTCGGGCCAGACGATCGGGCTTTAAAAAACTTTGGCGTCTCGTAGGGCAGAGAGAACAACTTCTTTCTTTCATGGGAGGTCTTGAGAGTATTGCAATAGGATTTAGACTCCGGCGGTCACACATTACTTATTGATTGCCCATACCATGCTGCTAATCCAGACTAGATAATGAAAGTATAATTCCAAAAGAAATCATTAACTTTTCATCTAAAAAGATAAAAGTTTAATTAATCATGGTTTAATGTAATTATTAATTACATCAAACCATGGTTGATTATTCCAATTAGCTTCTCTATAAAAAAAAGTTAGTATATTTTTTCAATAGCACATACTTTAGGTATGGATATCTGTGTTTGAAATGAACTGTTTATCTTTTATGATAGATATGTGATTCTTTCTAACAACGTCAAGGATGTTTTTGTTGTAGTGTCAAAGTAGCAGGAAAAAATGACATTCTATAACTAACACTAAACTAGTTCTTGAAGCCAAGTGAGTAGAAAAAATCATATATCAATGCACTATCAATTGTTACCATTAAAAATAATAATTTGTAATGCAAATCTACAATATAATAGTTGTTTAGATACAACACAAAAAGAAAGATATAGAGAGACTACAAGGAAAAGATGTTATTCACCATTTTTATTTACGATAACCCATTAAGTTCTATTGAAAAAACTTTTTATATGTGTCATCGAAAATTTCATTCAACTTGATGACATAATAACTAACTAGGATTACATTTATCAAAATTAACTAAGACCTGAATTGGTTACTAACAATAATATTGTGACTTGAAATGCATAAGAAAACACAATTATCCCAAACATCATTCAAGTTGATTTCTAAATCGTATGTCACTGCTAGTCTTAAATCTAGTGTATTGAAACCTTGTTGCAAAGTAGTTCATACAACATAAATTTATGTGCATACCTTGCAACCTAGAATTGAAAACAATCGTGTGTTTCTTAGAAACCTGTCAATATTTGAATTGGTAATTCGATGTAACTCAAAACTCGAGAACTTAAAGAGGAATCTTTTTACAGACTTGGGGATAAATCATATAAATTTTGTTACCTGATAATTCTAACATACTAGAGTAATTAGTGTTGCCTGAACATGAGAAGTATCTACATTCACAAAAAATTTTGAACATCAAATCCATAATAATTTTGCAACAATTATTCTTTCCAAAATAATAATAATCAAATTGTAATGTGAACATATATTGCAAATACTGTAGAATAATATAACAGTCACATGCAAATGGATGTAAAGTGCCAATGCGATGCTTTGTACGGTCTAACTTACCATCTTGCCTTCTAATGAATTTTGATCACGATAAAGAAAGCATTGCAATGACCTTGTTACTTCTTAGTATAGACATTACGAAATCAATGCATGACTTTAAAACGACACCCGATGTTTCCTTGAATGTTCGGCAAGACAATGTGGACAGCATCTAGCTACAGACTAGGAACTCGTTGTTTGACTTTTTCGTATTCCGAGCAAGCGGACAACTGCAGTGCTTTTCACTTTCTTCTTTTTTCTCCGTAGCACTATCCTTTATGCAACGAGGGTCGGAACTAATCCCAAGGGGTGGTCTAGTCTCAAGCGTGAAGCTTTATGATCTAATCTCCATGAACTTCTTACCCGATATCCCTGTCCATACATCCTGAATCTAAGAATATATTTCAATGGTTAATACCTTTTACATTTTATGCCCGCTGAAGAATTTTCATCAATCACAAACCATTGTTGCTGTAATCCACATGTCGTCAAGAGGTGTGGCATATCCCACTTGCGTCTAGAGGTTTGGTACTTTCCTGCAGTACTTTCCTTTAGCGTACTCTTGAAGGTGTGCAGTCACATTGGCTCGATGATACAATCGCATTCGAAGAAATCTAAGTGGCCTTCACAATTGTTTAGTGGCAGTGGGGGCTCGTGGTTAACTGCAAATATATTCAACTTCTAACACTCAAAACTCGGAGGGGGACAAAGTAACCAAAGATACAAGCGTGGATGTCGTATCAAAATCCAATGTTATAACTTTTGCAAAGCCTGTTGCGTCGACGAAAAATATCACGCAATAGTTTATTAGTGTATCTATATTTATAATACAAATATATCGAACCAATTTTGGCTTTTTGTGTGCCCTCTGGCAAAAAATTTGACAGCGTATACGCTTCAGCAGCATGGAGCTTTATGAGCTCTATGGGCACATTGCGTGTAGCAGACCGCAGGTCTACTGGTGAGAAGAAGTTAGTCAGTGAACATTTTCTGTGAATCGCTCGATAACGAGTTTCAACGAGTCCTGAGGTACAGTAAGAACCTATTGTCATGAAAATGGCCTATACGTTCAACTCCCGGAAATTCCTTCAATATACGAAGATTAGTGTCGGCCGAGAGAGCACTCGAAACTCTGAAGGTATATAGAATGGTTAATTTTCGAAAATAGATGGTAGTCTGTCTGATTCTTCCTGGAAATAAGGCAGACTACCTTATTTCCACGAAGAATCATGCATAGTAATGGTTAAACTTTCTCGAATGGAAAAGATAGGTAATAAATATATATTGGTTTAGGCATCTGTCATCAATCAGAGTGGCGCAGCGGAAGCGTGGTGGGCCCATAACCCACAGGTCCGAGGATCGAAACCTCGCTCTGATACAGAGAGCTTCCCTCAGTCTTTTGTTACGCAAAACACTTTACTCGATGGACCCTCCAAAGTGGCTTCAGCCCACCTTCACCTATGATCCATACAAGTTCTTTGAACGTTTGTGTGTGATTTCAAAACTGCCGTTCAGAGTGTGAACGGAGTAATAGTTTTTGTTTAGGCCATTACGTCAAGGAGGTTTGGAGAATGGATATGTGGCGAGTAGTATTTTAGTTCAGACCATGAAGTTCACTTCTGGCATCTAGAGTTGACTCGTTGTTCCGATACAAGCGGTGCAGTCCATTGTATTTTTCCGGACCCATCGTATCATAATTTATCATTGAGTGCGGAATCGACTTGAAAACCATGGATGCTGGAACCGTGAGCAAAGCAGTTACAAGAACTCGCAGTTGACGGTGGGTAAAATGAATTCTCTCGGGTGGACACCCGAGAGAATTCATTTCACTTCATGTCAGAATTCATTCATTTCAATTTCATTCACCCGCAAGTGTTTTGCGTTCCTGGGGTCCCATCAAGTACTTTTATCCACCATGAGTTTTGACTCAGAGTTCCATGAAAATGCTAGTGGAACAAAGAAGCATTGATTTGTGCTCCCCGTATGATCACGATAAGCTTACAGATCAGAGATTCTGCGTGAAGGGAATCGGGTGCCTGAGAAAAAAATGTGTTGCCAAGTGTGTTATCCCAGACACTGCCGGTACTGGATCTGTTGATACCAGCTCTTGTTACAAACCCCTCTAGTCCTGATAGATTTGAGAACCCTTTCTAATTCGAAATCTGCCATAATCTTTGCTTATTTTCTCTTTCCTGCGTGTCCGCGTACTATTGTAATGTCGAAACCGAGTGGAAACTGCTTCTATTGAAAGTCTATCAAGCTTGTGAATATACACTTCTTGGAGTAGTTCGGTGCCCTAAATTTGCTGCTATTCTCAAACGTCATCTACTGAAAATTTCTGTATGATATAACTTTGGATCAGTTCTCTTCAAACTGCGGTCATTGGTGAATCTTTAGTGTACACTCACACCCTCCCCTACTCGTGAACTGCCCACAAGTCGTGCAGCCTTCTGAGCCGCACCTCAGATTACAATACACCCAAATCAGCTGCGGATTTTTGCAATCCAGCCCAGCAGTATTTTTTCCCCATGGAGATAAATAATCCTAGTACTTCATTTCTAAGTTTTATCTTGCTGGGTCGATATAAACCCATAATTTATGAACATGCTTGCACCTCCAGCATAATGTACAGACTCGATGATGTAAACGGCTTGAAAGAAAAGCAATTTCAAAGGAATCTGATTCAGTTCCTCCTGAAACCGTCTCCTCCATCCGAGCTCTTTGTATCAGTCGCCCGAAATCTCTGAAAGTCTTCCTCCGATCCCCTCGGAGGTGCTTTCCCCAGCGCAGCGGTCTTCGCATCAGATCAGATCCGAGCAGAGCAGAGCAGCATGGAACTTGTGATGATTTTCTAGTGCGCAATGTGGTCAAAGATAAGATGAGATTGAACTAAAAACTCAGAAATCTCATGAGTGCCATATCCTGTACAAAAAGTGAAGATCAGATCACAGTCAGCTGCCATTTTGGTTCGAGAAGGAGAAATCATCGCCCGGAACCTCTCTGACTTCAGAGTTCATATTTACAAGGTCATCCAAGGTGGGAGTCGCCGTCGGAGAGCGATTATTCAATCTGAGATTCTCCAAGATCTCCAGGACGATGTTCATGTCAGGTCTTCTATCAGGATCTCTGTTAGTGCAGTTCACGGCCATGTGTAACATCGTGAGAATCTCATTCTCATTCTCCGGTGTCAACGTCGACGACCTCAGAAAGGGATCCAGGGTAGACAGGGCAGTCTTGCCCAAAATGGCGTTCGTCATCCATTGAGTAATCGTGCCGCAGTCTCCGAAGACGGACGCTGTCGGCCTCGTCCGGGTGAGAAGCTCCAGCAGCAATATCCCGTAGCTGTACACATCGGCCTTCGTCGATGGCCTGGCGTAATCTACAAACTCTGTCACAGACCACAGCAATCCACGCCACCGTCAGCCTCTTGACAAATTCCTCCTTCTCATCTCCCTTCCTGACACGACCCAGGCAAAACCAAAATCGCACTCTGAGAAATCGAGATTCCAACAACTCCAACAATGCCACCCATTTGCACCCAATTTCACACGATTTCATCGCAAGAGCTCCTGACACGACCCAAAGAAACAGACGCAACTACCACCCAAACCTGTCAAAGCAAAAGCGCACTCTGAAAAAACGCAATTCAAACAACTCCAACAATGCCACCCAATTTCACCCAACTTCATCGCCAGAGCTCCACAAGCGGCGTTAAATCGAAATGCGGAAATTGGACGATGGAATGCAAGCGGGAGGAGCAGGATGGAAGGTCGGGGGGATTCTCACCAGGGGCCGTGTACCCGACGGTGAAATTGCAGGTCATGGTGTGGGTGTCCAATCTGGCGGCGGGGCAGACGAAGCGAGTGCCGCCGAAATCAGCGATTCGGGGCTCGAGCTGCGCGTCGAGGAGAACGTTGCCGGGCTTGAGGTCGAGGTGGGCGACGGGCTCGTCCCGGTCGTGGTGCAGGTAGACGAGGCCGCGGGCGACGCCGAGGGCGATCCGCAGCCGGTCGTCCAGCGTGAGGGTACAGCTCGCGCCTCCGTGCAGCGCCTCGTCCAAGCTACCGCCGGGCATGTACTCGAGGATCAAAGCCAGGACCTCTGAGTTCTGCGCGTACCCGAGGATCCGGACCAGGTTCCGGTGCTGCAGGTCCTTCATGCTCTCGACCTCGCGCCCGAAGCGCAATCGCGTCTGCTCGAAGTCGTCGACGAAGAGCATCCTCTTGACGGCCACTTGCGCCGCCGCCTTTCGCCACCCAATATTCTCCAGCACTCCTCGATACACCATCGTCGAGCTGCCTTTCCCCACCAAATGCTCCGGGGAGAAATCTCGCGTCGCCCTCTTCAGCTCCTCCACCGTGATCTGCCTTAGACCCGGCTCGAACAATTGGCCTCGCGAAACCGTCTCGGGCCCTTGCACGTGCACTCTCGTCCTGCGAAATCGCCTCTCTCTCCAGACGAATGCCCCCACCACCACCACGAATGCTCCCAGCACGGCCGACACTCCTGCCACTGATTTCACCACGTTGCCTTGCCCCGGGGAGGAGGTCGATTTCGCTTCCGGGCACGGGTCGCAGAGCTGGGGGTTGCCCTGGAAGTTGGTCGTCACATTGGCTCGGAATGCTGGAATCGGGCCGCTCAGATGGTTGTAGGAAAGATCGACTTTGAGGAGTCCGGTGTTCTGGCCGAGCTCCCGGGGGATGAGACCCGAGAGATTGTTGTGCGAGAGATAGAGCTCCGTGAGACACTCCAGCGATGCCAGCTCTTTCGGGATGGCTCCGCTCAGAGAGTTGTAGCTGCAGTCGAATGGGAAGTAGAGACGAGTGCTGTAGAGGGTGGGCAATTCGCCCGACAGATTGTTATGTGACAGATTCAGCTCTCTTAAGAGACCGAACTTGTGCAGAAAGCCCGGAAATGGTCCCGTCAGTCGGTTTTCCTGAAGGAAGAGCTGTTGGAATACGTCATTGGACGAGTGCTCGATCAGCTCCGGAATCGGTCCTGTCAGCTGGTTGCCCTCCAGATGCAGAACCAGCAATTTCGAGCAGTTGCTCATGAATCCCGGTGGGATGCTCCCCGAGAGCCTATTTCTGGAAAGATCGAGCTCCTCCAAGGGCGAGGAGCATAGATTCGGAGGAATTGCCCCTGAGAGTTGGTTACTTCCCAGCTTGATGCGTGCGACCTGCGGCAAAAGTCCCAGCTCCGGGGGAATGTTGCCATCCAATTTATTTCCATCGAGGTATATATTTTTCAGCTCAGAGCAACTCCCTAAATCCGCAGGTATGGGTCCTGTAAGGCTGTTATTTCTCAGATTTAATACTGTGAGTCTGGTGAGCTTTCCTATGTGCGCTGAAATCGTTCCCTCTAAATGCATGTTCATGAAATTCAGCTCGATCACTCTCTCCGAAGAAGAATTGCACTTCACCCCAGTCCATTGACAGTAACTCGAAAGCGGATAGTTGTCAATACTCCAGCTCTTCAGAGCTTCCTGAGATCCTGTCGAGAGAGCCCGTTTTATTTCTAACAATGCTTGCAGATCTGAATCTTGGGCTGATGGCGCTCCAATCCATTGGCCTAGTGCCGCTGACTGAGATAGACACAGAGAGAGCCCGGCGACCACCAACACTCGCCAGAACCCATAAACTCTCAACTCCTTACACTGCATTTCCTTAATCTGTGTGCTCCCTGATACGGAGAGAACTACGTACGTCCTGATGCCAAATCCTCGAATGTCAATCGGGCATGTGCTGGCTAAGCCTGCTGACCGAAGGAAGACCTCCCATCTCCCGTGAATTTCAACTTCGCGCAGCTGCTCCGATCCCCCGTTCTGTCAGCACCCCACTTTAGCTAGGCGGATATTTTTTATTGCCGAAGAAAGAAATCAAGGCCAACCCCGAACCTTCTTCGTTCCCATCGAAGTGCTGCTGCTGCTGCCTGTCGCTGAGGGGCAGCAGGCAAACAGAGAAGACCTGGTCTCGCCTGAGCATGGCTCGGGACCTCGATGCCAGTTGATGCTGGCACTATGAGTAACAGCGTCCCTGAGGAAGTCCATCAAAGTCAACCGCTTGTACGGAAAGCTCCCTCCAAATCTAGCTGGAATCCTGTATCATATCTTCCCCCATCCCAAAGATGTTAGTTTCGATCGACTCGCAAGTCCAGATGTCGGTCTGACAAATCAGACGACCTCACTACTTTGTTCGAAACCAATCCTGCTCCATGTCTGAAGAGTGCGACAAGAACGATCAAGGTGATCAGATTAAACTGTGTCACGTCTTCAATCATGTAAGAATGACGCCATCTGAGTAGTACCGCAGTTTTTTTTTACCTGTATGGACAGGTAGAGGTCCCACTAGTACATATCAATATTTTAGATATATTACTCCAAATGTCTCAACTACACTTTTGTCCAGTAAGTTCACAACGTTTGTCTGATATATGCATGCCGATAGATTACCATCGGTTGGTGTAAGTGAATAACAATGCCACAACGTGGTTGAAAAACACAGTGTCAGGTGTATACTAAAACATACTCCTTCCAAATGTTGATATCAATTGTTCTGTAATAATTTTTAACAACTTCGGAGAAACAATACGTTTTTGAATTGTAAAATGTAATATTGTGATTTTCTAACATCCTCTTTCTAACATTAAAAAACTATGTTCAGAGATGATCATGGAAGTGATATGGTTGAAAAAAAAGCATGTAAAGATATGACCAAAGAAATCCATCCACACATATCCAACAATTAATATATTCCCTTCAACAGTAAACTCCACCAGCGATGAACAACTTACAGCTCTAGTTTCATTCTTTCTGAAGTCATGTTTTTTTTAGCTTTCTTTTGGGCTTCACCAATCTGTTTTAAGTCAGGAGAGATGCCAATATAATACAGCGCAATTGTAAATTGGTAAATAATGCGGAACAACGATACATGGATTCTAGACATTGACGATCAGAGTTGGAAAAAGAGGATCGCATATACAATTTTTAGTATGTGGCCTAAACTGTATAAAAGTGTGGTGATCTGACACGGTTGAAAGTGAATGAGTCTACAAAATCTACTTGGGGTTGCATAAAGATTCAACTTAGGAAGTGATTGAATAGTTTGTCTATAAGTTATATTTTTAATTTCTTGCAACGATTTAGATACTATCAATGGTTTTAAGCTAGTAGATATAATATAACTCTCATATAATTATTTCAGCTTTTAATTATTTATTTCAAAGTCTTAATTTCACAACACTATAATAGACTAGAAAGTGAATGATAGAGATTGGAAAACTTAATATGGCTTTTCTTGCAAATTTTCTTCAATATCTGGATACAATTCTCAAGTTTTGCTTCTAGCTAGTTTTAAGTGTCTATTTCAGATTTCACCTAGCTTTATCCAATTTTTAATTTTTTTTAATACCTCTCATTGTACATTCATGACAATTAGGAAGTAAAAAAATTCTATTTGTATTCAACTTAGGATTAGGTGGTGATCATTTCATTACTTGTTCAACAATTTCTATGAAAATTTTTTTATCAACATTGATTATTTAAATATCAGGTTAAACACAAATAATTTAATTTAATTTTTATAAATGATTCATTTTATTTTAAATAAAAAATCAGCAGTTTAGACTACCATCATGCTCAAGTAGAACCATCTGGCATCTTTTCTTGCCATCCTTAGTGACTGTGGGGTCAACATGGTACTCGCCGTCAACATTATTCTTTTCACCGGGATATACTACTTTTTCCTCCTATTTCTTAGCAACTTCCATGAACTCTTGCATTACACCCTGATCACCATCAGCTTTCCAGTTTGTTTTACAAGGAACATATTGCTTCTTACTCTTCTTCTTTCTTCTTGCCATACTCATTGACTGAGGCGTCAACATGATCCTTGTAGTCAAAATTTTTTCCTTCACTAGGAAAAACTACTTCTACTCTTCTTTCGCAGCAACTTTCACGAACTATTGCATGATATCCTAATCATCATAAATTTCCAAGTTTGCTCAACCAGAATCATCTCACTTCTTACTCTTTCTCTTCTTGACATCTTCATTTACTCCGACGTCAACATGGTACTCGCCGTCAATCTTTTTCTCTTCACCGAGAGTAAATACTTTCTCCTCCTCTTTTGTAGCAACTTCCATGACCTCTTGCATGACATCCAGATCCTCATCAGCTCCCAAGTTTGCTCGACTAGAACTATCTCACTTCTTACTCTTTTTTCTTCTTCTTACCATCCTCATTTACTACGGCGTCAACATGGTACTCAGCGCCAACCTTATCTCTTCATTGAGAGTAACTCCTTTCTCCTACTCTTTTGCAACAACTTTCACAAGCTTTTGCATGACACCTTGATTACCATCAGCTTCTAAGTTTGCTCAACCAGAACCATCTCACTTCTTTTTTCCTTTCTTTTTGCCATCCTCAATGACTGAGACATCAACATGATACTCGTCCTGAGCCTTTTTCTCTTCAATTAGAGTAATAACTTTCTCCTCCTCTTTTGCAGCAACTTCCACAAACTCTTGCATGACATCTTGATCATCATATGCTTTCGAGTTTGTTTGACCCCAATCATCTTGCTTTCTCCTCTTTTTTCTTCTTCTTGCCATCTTTAGTAACTGCGACGTCAACATGATACTTGCCATCATTCTTTTTCTCATCATCAAGAGTAACTACTGTCTCCTCCTCTTTTGCAGCAACTTTCATAACCTGTTGCATGACATCTTTATGACCATTAGATTTCCAGTTTGCTCAACCAAAACCATCTCATTTCTTCTTTTGTTCTTTTTTCTTGCCATATTCATTGTTCGATGCGTCAATATGATTTTCATGGAGAACCTTTTTCTTGTCATTAGGAGTAACTTCTTTCTTCTCCTCTTTCGCAACAACTTCAACACTATCTTGCATGACACCCTAATCATCATCAGCGTCCCAAATTTGTGGACATGAACCATCTTGTTTACTACTCTTCTCCTTTCTTCTTACCATACTATAAAATTGCGGAATGAACATGGTACTTGCCATCAGTCTTTTTTTCTTTCTTTTACTCTTTTGTAGCAACTTCCACGAGCTCTTGCATGATGTCATGATCATCATCACCTTCCTAATTTGCTCAACCAGAACCATCTTACTTTCTACTCTTCTTCTATCTTCTTGCCATTCTCATTTATTGCGTCGTCAACATGGTTCTCAGAGTTAATCTTATTGTTTTCACCCATTGATTGATTGTGTATATATTGAAGACTTAATATCAATGTCTTCATCACTTTCGTCAATGTCTTTGAGATTGGACATCATGTGATTCACAATAATATTCACAATATACATTACATGTTCATATCTTAGATAATTTTTGGCTCAACTATGTGAGACAAAGATAGAAAATGGCACTTTGATGAAATTTTTGAATATAACCAGATATTTTTCTAGTAATGAAGTCCGCTAAGCAGAAAATATAAAAATTTAATACAAATTCTTTGATTAAATTGTTGCTTGTGAATATGATTTTCAATATTATCAAAAATGATAGATGATTATAGATTTGAATGTCAATTATAGATTTTGTTTTTTTCCAACCTTCTCCTCCCACCCAAATGCAATGCAGAATTAACATTGAAATTTTATCACTTTTGAAAATTGACGTTTAGAACCCTAAGCTCTAAAACCTAAATCCTAAATTTATTAAGTAAACTTCAAATTTCATAGTTTTCAATATGCAAGAAAAAAATTTATGAATTTAAACTCTTATGAAAGCAAAGCTTTATACATTTTTGTTCTATAGGTATCAACATAAAAATGATTAAAATATTATGAGCTATTTTAATAAGTTTTTTTCAATGAATTTAAAAGTATAAAAATTTAATTATTTAAAATTATATATAATAATATTTTTAAAATCATATAATTAATATAAAAAATATCAAAGATCATGAACATAATACATATATGTATGTATATATGTATATATATGTATGAATTTACATGTAAATACAAAAACTATTTAACTCTTCATGAGAAAAAATTATTCAAGAAGTTGTAGAAAATAGTTTTTTATCTATACTTTCTGTTTTCAAATCAAACAAGCTACACATCCTATAGATGACATGTTTTTAACAAAATATTTTGCATCACTAAGATTATTGTTGACATGATTGGCCGTGTGAGGAAACACTATGTATAACAACAAATTTTCTTGCAAAAACGACCTATTCTACTGACTGCCATGTTCTACATCATCTTGACAGATGGTTGTTGAGGATATAAAATATACATCATATTTATGAATTACATGTATGAAGCTATGATTCTGAACAACATGATTCTGATGAGTGAAATAATTCATATATCCATTAAAAGGAATTCTCCAAGATCATGAACTGATTTTTTTCATAAATAGTTATATCTCATCGCGCTGTAAAGCATATATTCAACAGATAATCAAGTACAAAAAATTAGAGACCAAATAGTATCAACAATCTAAATTTTGGAATCTTTATATCATATTCCATGTAAAATTACAAATTGAGTGGTTATCAGGTGGAAACACATTAAATATTATGAATATTTCTAACGTTGAAGAGGATTCTTCATGAGATAAACCTTATCTCGTCAGGATGTATGAATAAATTAATTGATTATTTCAATAATTGTGAAGCTAGATCTTGATAAAGATTCTACTTTTCCAAAAAATGGTAGTTTTCTACTGCAGTCTAATATAATGTAATGATTTTGATGAATGTGAAGCTAAATCTTGTAGTGAATAACCTTATAATCGAGATAATTCTAGTGCTTAACAGCCTTTCTCTATCAGTATATTCTTTTCGAGTTGTGTGAAACCGTATTTTCTAGAAGGTTATTTATGAAGTAAGGGTCTGAATCAAACCAGTAAATATAACTTGAACTAGAATACACGGCAAATGTTCAAGGCATTGAAACTCTTACATGATATAGTCAACACAACCCTTAACTTACCCTCAAAACCGACGGTTACCTACTCAACTGCATAGCGAGATTACCAGATCAAGTATAATTCTCCTGATGATCATTAGAAAGCTAGTGCGTGATAGCATTCTTATATAATAATGCATCAGCTCCATATCATCCTTTAATGTGTAGGTGTATCTGAGACTTAGTACCTTATATATCGATAGTGTGTCTGATGTATGCATCTGAGATTAGATCCTCACAGCAGTAGCGAATGCAGGAATATATAAATGCATGGTAACGTCCCTCCCGAAGAAATACACTTGAGAAAGACGTTAAAGGAAGAAAATCACGCCCAAAGTGCTTTCCAAAAGTTGGTTAGGTAGCTCAATAATGCTACGGTACAACAGACCTTACTACCTGCCTTCTAGTCTTACCATCATGCTTACAGTACCGCTTGTCAGAAGATTAGACTATCACTCGTCCTGTGGATTTGGGAGAAAGTAACTCGACAACTTAAGGTTGAGGATTCTTCGATGATCTTGTTCTTGTTCATTGTGAATGATTCGTATCATGCTTTTGCACTTCCGATCTTGCTCCTTTTCAACTAGCACTCAAATCTTGGGTTTGCAGTATTCCTCTTATATATTGTATTCCACTACAAAATCGTTCCATCATACGATTTGCACTTCCAATTGTAACCTCGTATTGAATCTAGGTGTGAAATCTTCGGTTTTCGCTTGTGATCTGATCTTGTTCGTATTCCACCATGAAGGTTTGCACTTTTAATCATCAAGCTAAGACATAAATTTTCGGGTTTCTATTTTTCTTCTGATCTTGCTTTTCTCAACTATGACTTTTGTCTAGTCTCCGATTTCTCAATTCTGATTATATTTCAGACAAATTGAGAAAAGTATGAAATTTCTTTAGCATGCTCCTCGGAATATAAGAGTCCTTATATGGACCCTGACGATACACTCAAAGAGGAGACTTTTCCGTGCCTGACGTTGGGTGGAGTTTCTATGTTGCAGCGACAACTGGATTGCATATAACATTGATTTAATGGCTCCAAAATCTACAATGAAGGAGGCGAAATGGAGAGAGTTCCACAATGGTCTAGGCTCGGTAATTCAGAGGTCACAATCAAAGTCGGGCAAAGTGTTCCTGTCCTTTCTAACTCCTTCTGGTGAGGTTCAACCTTGTACCTGATATTTACGAGCGATCGAAATTGGAGCAACTGTGGAGTAAATAATGTCCATCCATGTTTTAGAATACCAGCTAACTTCTTAAGTTCTATTTGTTTGCAGACTAATGACTAAAGTTCGAGTTATGTACGTCGCTTAGCATAACAAGTTATTCAATTGACATGTAAATGTATGGTAGATCTGACTACACTCATCTGTTGAACGCTTGTTATCGATAGGAGAGCGTTTTGATTCATGGAAGAAAGCTGAAGCTTACATGAACGCAAAAAGAATCCAAAATATAACCGATGGGAGTGAACATGCTCCAAATTTAACTCGTGGCCGAATTATGAGCCTTTCGCACATGGAAAAAAGGGAGTTCAGAGAATGGTACTGGAGGAAGAAAGGTGGGCAAGTGATTCGAAAAGAGTATGTGGACAAAGAAACATCGAGAACAAGATGGGAAGTCAAGTACATCACTCCGGGAGGAAGAGGTAACCTCAAGACCATACACTAAAATCGCTTTAGCTCAAGCAGGCTGCCCTGCACAACAAGACGGTCGAGTAATAATCATTCTATTCTCACTACAAAACATGAAGTAAACTTCAGGTTCGAATCTGAGATCGTCTTAATTTGCTCCAGCATCGAGGTCCTTGATCACTTAGTCGCGGCTATTTATTTCTTCGGGTTTTGTTGGAATCGATTGGTCGACAACTGGTCCATTGGTATAGTGAAACAAATCAGAATGTCAAGAGGTTGAACATAAGTGAAGCTATGTTTGCGCGCCGAAATCTGTCACGCAACTGCAATAACTCTCATCAGAATGGTGCTATTGAGGAAGATTGAAACATTTTCCAAAACTTCCGCTGACTCATACATCAAGATGCAGGGGACGCCTTTGTCTAATTCCAATCGAACTGTCACGATTTTTACTGCTATGCTTGTAATAACATGCAGAGTCTTTCAGATCTTGGAAGCAATGTGTCAAATATCTTGGAAACGATCCACATCCTTCCATGACGAAGTGGACATCACGAAAGAATCAGCTTGTAACACCAAATCAGATAATTTCCATCATCTCTAGAGGGAGGAGAAGGAGAGGAAATGTGACATCTCCGTCATCGTCCAGAACCATCGTCTCGGCTCCCAAACCACAAATTGGTACACGTACTATCACCGGTGCTATTCTGAATAATGCAGCACAGTCAGTCGAAGCCGAAGGTGGTAACTCTCACATCTTTGAAGGAGGAGACAGTGTGGATTCTAGCAACGAGGGGAAGAGAACGTGGAATCAGCACGGAGGTGAAATATCACCAGTTGAGTGTGATACTTCAAGGTGCTCAGATATGAAGGCACAGGAGGATAACAGGAAGGTGAAAGCAGAAGCGACGAGTTCAAGTCGGGAGCAGGCCAAAATGGCCGCGCGCAGAAAAATGTTGGAATCAGGAACAAATTGGAAAAGGAGACGTTTTCTGAAGCTGGACAATGCGAGTGACGCCACACATGAAGCCAAGGATACCACTGCAGGAGAAGCCAGTAAGGACGACATACCCACGGAGCAGGAGATCGAGCAAAGGAGTATCAGAATGTTGGAGCCACCTTCACCTCGTACTAGCAGAACAAGAAGGTCAAGTAAGTGTTGTTTGTGCAGTTCACTTTTAGGACGTCTTTGACATGGGATTGTGATGGCCATCAGTTTGTATTAAGAACTATGAGCAGTTCAGTGACTTTGATTACAAGTCTGATGGTTCAAGACGAACTTGGATAAAATTTGACCTCAGAGCTTTGGTTATCACTGGATTGTAGGTTTGAAGAGAAAAGCCAAGGAGAGGGTTTTTCTCACGGTGGAAACAGAGGACCATGACGAGGTAGAAAAACAGAAGAAGGTTACCTTCTACGGAGAAAATAATGAAGAGGCTAAAGAACGCAAGGAGAGCAAGGGGAGTTCTTCAGCATTAAGTGCAAATGATGCGAGTCTTCAGCAAAATCTTATCAATCTCTTGTATGCAGATCATCTTAGGCAGGCATCAAACGACACAAAAACTGGATTGATTACAAAGATGTATGAAGAATACGTTCAGCGAAGTTTCTCCCGCTGTCAGAACACTAATGTTGGTGTTCTATCCTTGGCTTTGGCAAAGAGAAAACAGACAGCGAGGTCTATAGCGTCCATCATTAGTGACAAGAAGGACAGAAGAGCAGGTAATAAACTCAAGACGCAAACTAGCCGAATCTGACAGAAGTTTCCAAGGGTTCAGGGAGAATCATGGAAATTTATTGAAATTTCTTCAACAGTAGCAACCTCTACAGTAAATATGCTTGTCAATTAGAATCAGAAATAGATATAAAATCTGTTATCAGTACCTTCAGAAACTTAGAATCAAAAACTGCCAAGGAGGCAAAAGAACGTCCAGTTGATGTAAATTTGTTTTATTGGGATTTCTTCGTAGTTGAGTTATGTAATTGTCCAATCAATATCTATAAAATTTCGCCACTGTACATGCGAGTGTGTGGATCGACATATTGACGGACAAAATTTCGAAGGCTGGTGTGCGAAACTTAAACTTCCATTGAAGAATTTGTAGTACATTTACTACAGTACTAGAACATGGTAGATAAGTGAACTGAATCAATGCACATTAAGTTCACGAAGGGTATAAAAAGTAGAGTTAAAACACGCGGATAAAAAGTCAACAATGAGGATATCCTTTAGAAGATCCTGAGTGACAGAGATTTTAGATATTCAGACATGTAACTTCACTGTTTTATCATGCTCAATGTGCGGTTTTAGATCTTCCTGTAACACACATCAAAGATAATGGATGACACGGTATCTCTCTGTGTTAACTATAGATGCTAATATAACTCATGAAGAACAGACAAGTCGATCTTTTGAAGTGACTTGTAAGCATCCTGATGCTATTGAACAGAGTATTAATGTCTAAAAACAGAGTCATCTATACAGGATAAATGAACACACTGTGTTGCAGTAGAACGTGTGCTGTGAAATAGTATTACCAATAAAGTCAGCAATTGAGGCTTCAAAACAAGTCTAATGCATGACAGTATCTGGGAGAGTTCGATTTTCTTCAAGATCGGGTTGGATAACATTTGCATGACATTTATTGATTCCAATGGATGCAGACTAGTCACACCACACCCATGTTATTAATAATTTCTCCAGGAGTATAATTTCATTAGCATTTATCTTCTTTTTCTTATCGTTACATTCACAGTTGCAACTCGAAGTATAGAACACACGCGAGGTTTTGCGGTGGACAGTTTAGTATTCTGAAATAAAAGCCCCATGTTTATGAAAGCAATTGGGTTGAGTGCACATTAGGCGTACTGGCAGTCTTTTAGTCAACGCCTCGAAGTAAAACTAATCTTTCTCTGATTGTGCTGACTGATCCTACGCGAGTTTTTTCGTCACTGAGTAGAAGTGGATTGATCGAATCCAGCATTGCCATTTACAATCGTGATATTAATGATGCATAGTAGGTAGATAGTCACGGTGACAGAGTGCGTCAGAACTGTACACTGCTGTTACTGTCCAGCTTGAGACAAAACCTCCTTGCAGCTCACAAAATAATCTGATATCGGATAGACAAAACAGATCGTTTACGTTCTTAACATTCACATCTACTAGCTCTTCTGATCGAAGACTGGATTTACACAATTCACATATTTCACATCTTGCATGAGAAAAGCGGAAAAGTGTATTCTACATCCCACTGTGCTGGAAACGGAGTCTTGGCTATAATGCATTTGGGAAGAAAATTTGTGAACATAAGGTTGCAAGTTCTGGAAGCATGGACTTAAACAGATCACCATTGAAAATGCTTGATTTTTATTTACTGTGAACGGAGGCGGTGCTCAAGTAGAAAAAAAGCCTGCTGATAGCACCTCAACAGAACATAACTGTACAAAGGAGACACACTTTTGTCCCATTGACACCCCATGCTTTTTCGGTACGATCGATTGTAAGCTCAAATTGAGGCGAGATTTTCAGTCTCGAGATGTCGTCGTGGTCAAATCTTCTATTGCAGCATCGATGTTGGGCAAGTTTACTCTTCATCGTCTGACGACTTATCTCCGTCGCCGTTCTCCTCCTTCATCTCGTTGTGGATGGCTTCCATGATGGTGACGATCGTGGCGATGAAGGCCTGGTCAACGTTGGGGCGAATGGTCACAGCGTATTGGTTCTTGCCAGTGAAAAACGATGTGATCGAGCTAGCCTTCGCCACCTGCATTCCAGCACAGAAATCACACATGCAAAGTCAGAATCCACCATCTTTCAAACCCCTCACAGTTCATGTTTATTAGCCTCCGACTTCATAAGCAATTCTCTGGAAGGTGACCATCAGTTAGATTATCATTCTGCAATCCGATCAATCATCACTTAAGTACCTTCCATCTATTGTCGGACATTAGGGAGATGAGATGCGATACAACAGTTTTATGAAGAATCGTTAGCTGTAAATTGAACTACACCAAATAGTAGGTAGGATGCAATGGCGACTACAATTTACAAAGACCGCTCCAGTAACTTACATCGGCGATAACGAACTGGTTGTTGTGGATGATTGAGTAGTTGCGGCGAACGAAGTCACCCTTGACTTCGATGTTGGGTTCCGGAGCTCCCTCCAACTCGACCACGTAAGTTTCTTCCTTTCCGTCGCTCATGAACTTGTCCCTGAGGCTGAAGACCTCCTTGCTGGTCTCTCCCTCGTATACTTGGTACCTGTCGTGGAATGACAGACCCTGTTGACAGAAAGGAACTCATTGTCAGGACGATGACCAGTTCTAATTAAAAGATCTACAGATGCAGAACTGCAGTTTGAGTGGAGATCGGGATCGGAACAAGAAGGAGATCTTTGGTGACCCACGATCCTGATGATAATTTATGAATGAGGATCACAGACGTGCTTTGCTCAGGCTTCAATCGACTGGGTAGAAATATTCCTGAAGATGTTTCGAAACTGGAACAATATTGAACAAGAATGCAGAAACACTTGTGGACATTGCATGTTCCAATGTCCACAATGACCGATCCGATCACCTAGATCGAGCGAGCTGCATGCAATTTACCGACCGATATGGTGATGAAATGAACTGTTTGCTGAAGTGAAATATACAGTCCTGGGAGCTCATACCTTCTTTTGGATGCTGGCAACGGGGCAGTCACGGGCATCGCGCAAGATAGTCAGTTCCTTCAACCACACCTTCTTCTCCTCGAGCTTGAAGATGGCGTCACCATCAGAGTTAGTGAAGCAGAAGTTGCCGTTGTTGAAGTCCATCAGCTTCTTGGCAACCTTCAACTTGCTCTCCTCGGGGGAGGTGTAAGCATCGCTGACGACGTGAGACAGCTCCATCTTGGGATCTGTAGTTTCAAACCGAGATAGAATGGAAATTAAACCAAAATGACAGCACAGCCACAAACTATTGATGTGTCAAGGTCATTCATTTTTCATGGAGAGCAATTTTGCTGGTCGAGCCCTTACACACAAATTCCGGTAACAGCAAAGTGACAAACACCAAGCAATGTAGGTGGATCAATCCTATAGAAAACATGATTGACACAAGCTGATCGCAAGCAACGTACAAATAGATAGACTGGAAACACAGCAGTGACTGGAGCTAAGGTCCTGTCAGTTTCAGCCAGAGCAACGACAGAGGCACTCTGTACTACGATCTGCTAAAAGAATCTCGAGCAAGGAACGACACTCACGAGAGGTTGTCGAATTCCTGTTGGGATGCTGTGTTGGTAGTGCTGATACTGAAGACTCAGAGCTGCAGTATGGGTAGCAGATAAGTTGAGCTGAGCTGAGCAGGTGATGTGTTTTCTGAGAAGAACCGAGAGACGAGCGCTATTTAAGCTTCTCACTGAGAGAGACCGGTGCTTACTTTTCAGAAAGCTACGTACCAATACCGGCCTACAGTAGACAAGTACTGCGATCGTACCTAAATTAAACTGCTCTAGGATGAGTCAGTATTTTTGTAGATAGTCCTCCCCCAGGGGCCGTCCGTCCCTAGGCCGAGAGTGAGACCAGATTTTCAGGCACTGTTTCCACCAAGTGCTCGCTGTGGATTGGGGATTTCGTACTTTTAACGTGTGACAAGTGTTCGGAAGTTGACTTTCCATGAGTTATGCAGATCATTAGCTCAGCCCATAGATTTGCCAGTACCTGATTAACACAGACCGATCGACAAAGAAACATGTGTCCGTGGGTTTGGTAAAGGACACCATTGAAGTGGAGGCCGTGGTGAGGATGGAAGATGCTTAGCCGTCTCACTCTGGTTGGAATGTAATTCGTGAGTTTAGGCCGATCCGATCAGATAACGACATTGGACACGGGAAGGGGAACTTTTCTCGGCCTGCAATATCGAGTACATTTTTATTGTGGACATTGTTGGCCATATTGGTTCCGTGCTTCCGTACATGAAGAGCCGATCTGATATGGATGATGACATTGGAATATACAGAGGAAAGATAAATCCTTTTGAAGGGAGTGGATGTGTGTTGGAATTATTGGAAGACATAAGTAGCTCCGGGCAAAAGGAAGAGGCACATGTGCTCCAGAGTTCTATTTTTTTTTCTGATTAATCTTCCTTCAGGCCGACGGCAAAAGGAGCTCCGAGTGGATTCCAATTATTGCGTGCAGCAATTCTGCGTCCGGCCCCACAGTATGGCTTTCGGTCCTCCTCGGCCAGTTTGGATTGAATGCTGGACACGTGCTGGAATGGAAGAATCCGAAGAGGAATCGAGAATCCGAGAGGGCAGTTGCCAGGCCGGGTGACCGGGAGACAAATCGGAGAAGATATTTGCACCGGAGAGTACAGTATCCCGATCCGCTGCGCATGCGCTTCGACGATTCTCCTCGTAACTTCGCCGAGCTCCGAGCATGGCCCCACGATCTGGCCTCTGGAAATTGTTTCCTCACAATCGTTGAAAGCCAATCCACCAAAATTCAGATTCTTCGCCCTTCTCATTCCGAGCATACGGACATCTTCCGACGTACCAAATCCGCCTGCAAATATTCTCTGCATGAACGCATCGAGCATATCCTCTGCTCCGCCCTCGAGCCTTTGCAGAGTCATCGGGGTTTTGTCAGTGGGAATGCAATTTTCGCTCAATTTTCGCTCAACTTTCCGAAAAGGTCCCATGGCCGAAGGACTGACTGCACGAGAAGGTCAAGCTGCAGGAAGCACCTTCGGCTCAGCGTCCAGTAAGCACCCTTGGCAGAGATAACTTCCCGTTGACAGAGGACGACCTGCTTCGTCGAGCCAACCACTCGCAGTCCGCCACTTGTCATGCCCGGACTCCGGTAAGCGAATCCAGTCTCGCCACCTGGCGATGCTTGCGAGGGACGCGATCAATCATTCGGCCGGCCGAATATGCTCGTGAATCTCTCGGAAAGCGGGGCCCGGCGCGTCCACTGTGCCATTCCGGCCGAGACGCAAGAACGCGTCTTCTGCGACGTCTGCCGGTTCGATTTTCCGGCGGGAGGGAATAACGTGTGTCCCCGCCACCGCTCGCCAAGTGGCCTCCGACCCTCCCCCGGCTCCACCACTGCGGTCCTGCTCAACGCGGTTACGGGCGACCGTGCTTCGCGTCGTGCCCGTCCGATCGCCGGACTCCGGTGTCGTGGGCCGTCGTCGGACGGTTGCAACGAGCTCCATCCGGATCCATCCGTTCTGTCCACGTCGCCAGAACGTCATCGTGCGTTCTCGATTGCTCGCGTCGCAGCTTACGACGATTCGCGATATTTTGCCGCAAGAGCTGCGATTTCCGACATAGGAACGAACGTCGTATAAATAAACTTTGCGCAGGATTGTGCGATTTTGCGGGGCCGGTGCGAAGATCCCAACGAGAAGATCGAGCCGTTCCGGCTTCCTCGCATAGTGCAACCGTATAAACCCTCCGCAAGTAATTTCCAGTCGCCGTAAATCCAGCGTTCGGGCAGAACCGTAAACGTGTCGCGGTCCTCTGGATGATTAATTTCGTTCCGGAGAAGAATTTGCGTTACGAGATACGTTTACTCGTTAGACGCGTATACCGATCCTTCCGTCCTTCGAAAGACCGCGATTAAGCTCGACGTGGTTAAGATCGACGTGAAAATCGGGTTACCACATCCATCGAAGGGCTGCGTCCACTGTTAGGGTATATAATATAATATATTATCCTCCATGCAGATCATGCGTCGCGTTCGGGAACAGGGCTGTCCCTGAGAGCAGTCGGGCCAAGAATAGGAAGGCGGATCGAGGGTGGATGAAGGGGAACCAGTGACAGAAGCGCGACCAACAAACACGAAAGGAGGACGGACCCCATGAGCAGGAGGAGGACGGACGAGTCGTGGATCTCGGGCATGGCAAGGCATGGGTTCTCTGTAGCCCCGACCATGAAGAGCTAGAATCCACGAGTCCACGATGATGGTCAGTCAATTCCTTGTGCGCTAGAGTGTGCTAGTGCGTGCAACGAGCGAGGGCCGACGAGGCAGGGCTGACTTTGTGCCTCTGTCTCTGTGTCTCTCTGCCTGCCACTGGATGGCCTGCTTCCGCCATGATCTCCCGTTCTTCTCTGCTCTGCTCGCACGAGAGTTTCGTGTAAGTCAGACTGGCGATTGGTCACTCTTTCAGTGTAGCTAGAATTTGATGCCGTCCAAGTCTTGCTCGAACAATCGACTTTGATGGACTCCAATGGTTTGCTTTCTGCTCAATCTGCAGAGGGAGCTGGAGGTGAGCATTCGATCCAGCTGAAATGTATTCGAGTGCAGGAAATGATTCATTCCATTATAGAGCAGATAAAAAATTCTTGCAAATTTAAGAACTCCGGATCAACTACAGACTTCAATCATCGTGGTCACTGGCACGCAGACGATTCGAGGGAATTTGATTACTACTGTGACTTCTGTGAAACTGGAACCGATGCGCTTCTTTTGCAAAGAAAGGCTAGCATGCCATTACATGGATGATGCTTACGCGGATTTGATGAGGCGGCCCGATCTTGGTCCTGGATTGCGGTAAGTTGACGGCGTTCGACTTCCTCCATGTGTCGGATGTTATAATTCGATAGATCGGATGTGATCCGTCTACAGAGGAATCATGCGAAGACTGCTGGGTCGAGGATTTAAGTTTACAAAAGGTCGCAGCTCCTCGTTCGAGATGGTCAGAAAGGGTCAACAGGTGCAGTTCTAGTGGAGATGAGGATTAGATGAGGATGCAATCGTTCGCTTACTACTCAAAATTTCGTCACTTCCGAAAGACGGGCTCGATTGCAGAGTGCTGCAATTTGCCTTTCAGAAATTTGGTCAGAAATTTGCAGTTCCTATTAGAACTTCGTCTTCTTGTGATGTTGCAGAGCCAGAACGTTCAATCGGTGGATCAATCGAGAGCTCTCCCTGGAGTGCATTAAAATCGGCGCGCACCATCAGAACTGGAAATCGAGTCTTCGTTCTAACGCTGCCGTTATCATTCCACTCTGGTCGTGAACCTTGATGACTTACTTGTTGAATAGATTAGGACTGGTGTTTACGAGTAATTGTAACGGAAGTCAACGAACTAATCAGAATAGAATCTTGTCAGCTGCATGACCACCAATCAAGTCTTGAGAACAGGTTCCTGTCGATCCTTAGTGTGGGATGGATCCCGTAGTCAGGCATAACGCAAGTCTTCAAATCAGACTAAACCATGCACATAGTTCTTGATGGAGAACTCTATGCACACTTGAATTCCAAGGAATTTCATAACTTCAGAATGACCCTAGATGTCGAGCACAGATACAAGAAGCTGCCTTTCGAGATTTTGATGCACATACATGGATCCAAATTAAAGCTCCAATCTAGCATAAAGAAAAACGTGTTGACATCCAAAGTATAAGTTCCCGTAGAGATGTAAGCCCGGGAGTTGCTGTAGCAGCATTTCCTTCTGCATACTTTGTCCATTGACAGCTTGTGGGAGCGGAATCTGGAGAGAACAAAAATTGAAAGACGAATACTAAATGAGCCATGTCTTTTAATCAAGGCGCAGATGTAGTTGTCAAAGAGGCATGTAAGCTCACAAACAAGGACAACTTTCTTGAAAAGCTCATGTTGTTGAGCAAAGATCACGTAAACTGTTAAGCAAATGCAGTTTTGGTGAGATTCAAGGGTTTTCTTGAACCAAGACTACCGTAACTTTTGTCTCTAGCTCTTATGAATTTTGAGGGTTTTCTTGAACTAAAGTCTAAATATTGTTCTCCCTTCAAGGATTTTCTTAAACCGAGACTACTTTCTGGTTTGTCTCCAGCCCTTATGAACTTTCTGGTTTTTCTTGAAATAAAACCTAAATATTTTTCATGCTCGAGAGTTTTTTTTGAACGGAGAAAATCGTCCGTTTTAGCTCGAGCCCTTATGATTTTCATGGTTTTTTTGAATGAACCTTCAATATTTATCCCGCTTCAAGGGCTTTTTTGAACTGAGACTACCGTCCGTTTTGCCTCAAGCCCTTATGATCTTTTAGGGTTTTTTAAATCAAACCCTCTATACTTCTCCGATTCAAGGATTTTCTTGAATCGAGACCACCGTCTCTTTTGTCTCAAGCCTTTATGAACTTTTAGGGTTTTTTTTGAACCAAACCCTATATATTTTTCCCTCTTTAAGGGTTTTTTGGAACCGAGACAACCGTCCATTTTGCCTCGAGCCCTTATTATCTTTCAGGTATTTTTTTTTGGAACCAAACTCTACAGAGTTTTTTCCGATTCAAGTATTTTCTTGAACCAAAACGACTGTCTCTTTTGTCTCGAGCCTTTATGATCTTTTGGGGTTTTCTTGAATCAAACCTCAAATCCTTTTCCCTCTTCAAGGGTTTTCTTGAACCGAGATTACTATCTTTTTTGTCTGAAGCCCTTATGAACTTTTAGGATTTTCTAGAACCAAACTTTAAATATTTTTCCCGCTTCAAGGTTTTTTTTGAACCGAGATGACCGTCCATTTTGGCTCAAGCCCTTATGATCTTTAAGGGATTTTTTTAACCAAACACTAAATCTTTTTCCGTTTCAAGGATTTTCTTGAATCAAAACGATTGTCTCTTTTGTCTTGAGCCTTTATGAACTTTTGAAATTTTCTTGAACCAAATCCCAAACCCTTTTGCCGCTTCTTGCACCTTAGTCCAGAAAATATACGTGAAGACCTGAAATCCTCAAACGTTTTGAATCTGGAGCACATTGACTCTACTCAAGCTTCCGTTGAACGTGTCTTGAACTTTGCAAGGCCTGAAAGAATTCTCGGTCAACTTGACGTTTATAAAGAAATTTGAGGGAAATTTAATGGAAACTCTCTTGTATACACAAGTAAATTGTTCAGTTACAGCCTCAAAGTCATGCAATAAAGATCAAAGTACTCAAATTAAATCTTGCACTGAATATTTTCATCCCGCTTCTTCTCGGACAAAGATAACAAATGATATTCTACTTGAGAATATCATTCTGATGGACCTCGTCGTTGTGTTCAAAACTTGTCTCTCAATTCTTATAGCTTTGATATCAATCATGACAAGAAACACAAATATCCATAAACATCACGAACATATTAACAAAGAGTACAAAAAAATACGAGTTTTGTCACTCTCTGCCTACGTTACCAAGGTCTTTATTAAAAGAATTCACAAAGTGTTTAATGCGAGTTGTGGCTCGCCTTCCTATTTATAAAGCATAGAAAAAAATCCTAGGTCTCATTCTAACTAGGGTTAAGTTTAAATCAATCTCTAACATGAGTTGGGTTAACTAGAGTTTAACTCGAGATCTGAAATAATATTAATAAATTCTTAATTCACCTAATCACATACATTGATTTTTTCCACTAGAACTACAATAACATTCTTTTCCAAAAAATTGCATCAAAGTCTCCATTCTCTTGCATGACAGTCACCTAGGTTTTATTCTAGCTCTATTGTAACGCATAACAATGGCTTTCTGTTCTATAAAAGAATCCAAGATGAGAAGCAAGTCATATACACAAGCGAATCTGATGGCTTCGAGGTAAACAAGGCAGTAGGATATTCAAATTTGACCACTGAAATCCATTCACAATCTTGATTGTAACTAGGAAGAGATTATGACAAATGTTCCAAATAAAATCAATTTTTTTTTTCAAGATGACTTGAATTAATCTGATTTTTGATAAATGAAACTTTAAACATCTTCTAAGAAATGAAACACTATTAAAAGGAGAATCACACCACACTCCTCTTTGGATTGTTCGTAGAAGTCAATTAAAAATTCATTCACTCCCTTACTTTCTCTTAAGTTGTATGGCCACATATGAGTTGATCCAACTTATATGTAGTATACTGGTTTGGACAAACTTATATATATTATTTATTCACAACATATATAATATATAAGAAGTTTTAGAATTCCTGGCTGTTAAACTTTAGTGTGAGTCATGACGTGGGAGGAAGAGTGATGTTCTGAATTCATGTCCCATTTCTTACACATTGGGTAACAGTTAATTCAATCACTTGATCGCCGCACCTCCAATGTTTTCTACGCCTCGAACATTGCAGATCAACATCAACTTATCTATTAGTACTACTGTTCGCTCACACTCGATTCCTCCACTAATTTGCACTGACTCTTTACCACTTTTACCTCTTCCCCGCTTCCAGGGTCGGATTCAATGGTATGCATGGGTTGTTGTATGGGATTTCACACTTCCACTCTGATCGTTTCGTCCGAAGATATTGCCAGATTTGTGTCTCTTGCTCTTGCAGTTTTTCTGCAAGCTATGTGAGTGCAACTGTTGAGAAGAGTCTAAGCACCAGTAAGGATGGATACGTATTAAATTTGGACATTTTATCTATTCAGCTGCAAAGTAGTCCGACGAAGGAGAGGGATTCTAAATCTGAATCCATTGTACTGCAATGTCCATTCCATCACGCCCGGAAGGTAAGCTTCCAAGATATCGACTAACTAAATCTTTGCATATATACCTTTTGCACACTGAGATTCAGATTAAGGAATCTTACTAAGAGACTAACTACATTCCACTGCTGGATTGAAGTTGAACATTTTGTTTCTGGTTATGTCGAACACATGAGGTTGCTTTCTTCAATCCATGGAGGCTCCTAATGAGGCAAATACAATAAATTGTTCTATCACGTATGGCAGCTGACTTTATCAACTGTGGTATACAGACGAATTGGAGAGGTAGAGGTATCATGTATTTTATTTGCATTTTTCTATTTCCTTGCTCCGAATTGTAAGTTTATGAATATTCAGTCTAGAGTGGGAGTGGAAGAACTTCAACTTACAATAATAAGTTCCAAATTTTTTGAAGACAATTTGAAGATTCCTCAATGTGAATAATTATCATCAAGTATTATAGCCACCCCACATCTCTGCGGATTTTTCACCTTAGAAGGAAGTGAATTGATTTTTTGTCTCTTCAATTCTCCCTGCCGTGAAATTAACTGGGCTCTGAGGTATAATCGACAACGAATTCCAGGCCTATTTCGACACAATCGTCTGTACCACCGACAGAGTGACCTCGGAGCTCGGCTCGGTTGGCTTTTGCTGTCTTTGCTTTCACCACAGAACATTTGTATAATTTCCAAATCCCAAGAGAGCACAGAGCTCAATGCATTCGGATACAATAAGTTTGTTGACACACCTTTTACTTGCTTTGGACAATTGCTGTCCGAAATAAACAAACACATAACCATCAGATTCCATCCACTTTTCTGTTTCCATGGTGAGCTTGCGGAGTCTGATGAGGTTTATGTTGTGGTTATCACCGTAAAAATGGCAGAATTTATCACCTCTTCCGAACAATGATTTATTTATCGCTCGAAACTTCCTCAGTAATATGAGATATTTGGCGGTAAAACCTTCCATCTTTGGATCTTTATATGCAACCACGTGAGAAGTGTGGTACATCACTGTCATGGTAAGTTGAGATTATAGTTTCAGAATTACATGTTTCAAACTCCAATACAAGCCAGAAACTTCACAATCCTATCACAACCATCTATCTGGGCTCACTGAATTAGGACAAACTGAACTTGCACAATTTCCAGATCTTCCAATTTAAGATTCAACTTCAAATTTATCAAGTCTTCCGATCAATGCTTTATTTATCGCTAGAAAACTTCCTCAGTAATTTTAGATATTTGGTGGTAACACCCTCCATCTTTGGATCTTTACATGCACCCACGTGAGAAATGTGGTACATCACTGGCATGGCAAGTTGAGATTTATAGTTTCAGAATTACATGTTGTACATGGTGGCCCGTAAACGAGAACCGAAGTGTAATGCTCATCTCGACCCTCAACTAGGCATGGGCAAACTACGTGTTTATGCTGTGTAGAGATTAGTGAACTACGACAATGCACGTGCATTATTACGCCATTGATTCCGATTAATGGCGTAATAACAGGCTGATTCGATTGTGTGATTTCAATTAGAAGAAGTGTGATTTAGACGTGCGTTAGCTTCCGTATCAAGGTATTCTCACAGCAGTTTGTTACAGCACTGCGTGAGTAGCCGGAACTGAAGCTCTAGAAGTGAAGTTGTAGGAGCTGAAATTCTCGTCGAACTTTAGAGAAAAGAAAAGACGAGAATGGAAAAACTCTCCCAGTTTGAGAAATACTGCTGGGATAGAATTCCAGAGAAAGTATATGTTCCAGTCGACAGACAAAATTTGTTTTGCTTTGTATGTACGGGTTGTCACATGGAATCTCAATAGAGCTGCTCTGTAAAAGTCATGTACAAAGAGATTAACAATCTTGGGAACAATGTCTGCTGGCACTTATTCTGCCATGGACCATGTGCATCTGGGAGGAAATTGAGCTTGTTCACTACACCCATGGTTTGTAAAAGTTCTTGAAGCAGTTCTTTCGACTACTTGTACATCCTGCAGACTTGAATTGAATCACGTTTTACACGATGCTCAACCAGTAGTTTGAAAGTGCTTACATTACGACTCAAGCTCTGTACACAAAGCTTCTGGACATTCTTCGGCTATATATGGAATTAAATCTCAGGATGCCCGAACAAGCTCTATGAGTGCGACTTCTGAGAATACAAAAAGCACCAGTAAAGATCCAGATCCTGCACTATCTGAAGATAATATCATTGCAGCAGGGAAAGAACTAGACGAAGAACAAGAATCGAATATGGTAATCCATGGTAAAGCAGTGTCCATCTGATCATTTCAGGAGAGAAAAAGCATCCGATTGAAGGTTCTTTCCGTACTCCACGATTTTATGTCTTATCCACATGATC